AAGCAAGCCTCAGGAAAAAGGAGGAAAGATCCGCCAACGTAACAAACGGAGACAGTATGAAAGACTTACTTTTACATACCCACGCCTGCTAAACAAAAATGAGATAAGTCTGAGAGGAGAGGACAATTCGGCCTGACTCCTGGCAATATAGGCGCCTCAAACCTAAACGTCAAATTGGCCCGCACTTGAAATTAGCACTATGGATGACTATGGTTAGCATACTCATTGAGGGATGTCACAAATTTGAAGGATACGTATCAAGTGATGTTAGACAAGCACATTCGTTATGACCGGTGAAGACGGGTTCAGCGTGTGTCGAAAAATGATTCGTACCCGCGATGACAGTCTCATGCAATGTCTTTTGCCAAAAACACAGAAAGAAAAAAATCGTACCTCTTTCTCCAGGGTACATCATAAAAGTCATGAGGCCTTTGACAATGGATACTGGGAGATATCAGGAACAATTCGAGCCCGCCGACGATAGGGCGCAAGAGCCATCTACAGCTCGCGTTCCTGCATCTCTGAATACAACAATAGCGAAAGCTGGGACCAAAGAACGGCCCCTGATCCACGCGTGTTGCTTCATCGATCCGTTCTGTCTCGCCGCACTAGACATGCAGTTCGCTCGGACGTGGCGCTAAATGTGAGAGGCGAGAAGACCAAAGCGTCTTCTGTTTGGTACTGTCCATGGATAACTGGCCGCTTCGTGGCCATCCCTCCGCCGGAATGCCCGCTTGATGGGGGCGTGTGGATGTTTCCAGCCCTCAGATGGCAGAAGTTCCAGCGGGAGAGAACTAGGAGCATCTAGACCGTGCCGTATGGTTGTTGTGGTCTTGGGGCGTAATGTTTTCTCATCTTCTCTCATTTCGTTTGCCCCTCCTACTCCTGGACTTTCACACAACGCCTCTGACGCTTGCATTCGCTAGCGATCGGGGCACAATCTCTGTGATGATGGCAAAGGCAGATGTGGGCAAAAACCCCGATCGCCATCTTCCATGCTGTTCACCACGATGTGAGACTGCGGCTGCTCCACACCCTCGGGGAGATCTTTCGCTGCAGCCGCTTGTAACATATAACAAAAGGCCAGGATCATTCGGCAAAAGAGGGGGCCATGTAGGTGTGAAGGACGAATGAGGAGAGGCAGCAAAAGAGAGACGCTCGTCTCTTGCAGCTCCGTAGACGGGCTGGCACTAGACATGAATATGAGCAGTCGCTATGCAGAAGTACATGTACCTACATGTTACAGCTCATCTTCAGCATCCAATTTCATATCATGAGCTTCAAGGACATCGGGAAAGCCGTGCACTGCCTTGGTACTTCCAATGACGGCCGCCATTCAGGTGCCAGGTGAGGCAAGAAGTCAACAATATGATGTATAACTTTTCTCCTGTCTGGGCCGTGAAGCTTGCTCACAACCCGATCTGTAATTGGTAGCTACCAGTCTCCAGGGAGCAGGATTTCATCCATGTATGTCAATCAATACTACCTCCTAAGAGCAATTTTCAGCTCCGAGATGCTACTAGGTAGGCAGGCAGGCACTAATACCCTATTGATGCCTCATACGGAGTATCCGAGCATGACCCCAAACAGCACGAAGGAGTCGTCTCGTCAGGGTCGCAGAGCTGAGGCAACATGACACGTCTGTTTCCCAAGATCTCCCAGCAGGATCAAATCTGCGCGGTCCTCGACCATGTTTGATACGGAGCCCTGCCGAATAGATTGACTATGCGCTGAATGCCCAGGACCAGCGGCCCCTGCATCAATCTTTGGTGAGCATCCATGGAGCCGACAGCCGCAACTGTGCTGTGCTGTTGCAATTTACGGCCGTTAGCATCGCTGCCCGACTGCTACTCTATACCCTGTGCCGTCTCTCAAAATGGAAACGAATAGGTGATGGGAAATCCAGGGCACGCTGCCTGTTCAAGTGACTTCAGTTCATGCGTAACAATTAAACCCCCGTAGCTGCCGGGGGGGTGAGCGAACCCATGTCTGCCAACTCTGGCCTTGTACCTGCGCATGTAGAATACAATACGAGCACAACAGATTTAGAAACAGATTTTGATCTCTCGCCGGCAGGGCGTTCAGGTCATCTGGTAGGCGAGCATCCGGGAAATGACAGGTCTACTAATATTTGTTCTTCCATCTATAAGCGCAGGTAATACCCCTGTAGCAGTAACAGTAGCATTAGCCATGGGTTATTCATGTGAATGTGGCTTTCACGCCCTCGTTGGGAGATCTTCTTGCTCACACACCCCTCCTCCGTTTCTTTGTTGTCTCTTTTCGCTCGAGAAAACAAAATGGCATCTGGTTGTTTGATGAACACAAGATGATGGCTCCTGTGGAAGCTGGTGGTGGATACATGTACCTAACCTAAACCTGGATCTGATATCGACACATCATATCAATGGAGTAATAAGGGCTATTGTATTGCTTTTTTTGTATCCCGTAATACTCTGCATGTTAATACATGTGCGGGGTGATTAAATGGTAATGCCAACCAAAAGAGTGTAACACATCTTGCATGTTTGTGTCACCGTGGCGCCTGTCAGAAGTCATTAGTGGCTACAAGATCCATTCCAAATGCAGTTGAAGCTGCATGCACTTCTCCTGGCAATCAAAGCCCCAAGCAGTCATAACCGAGTTTCAAAAACGTAAATCTCTAGATGATGTGCAAACTATGGGGGCCTTGGGACCAGGTACCCGGGCCTCCTTCTTCCAAGACTTTCGCTGCTCATCCAAGTTTCGCGCAGGTGGTCGGTAAATCGCGGCCTTCCTTAGAAAGCGTCGTCTCTTACACTAGCATGGTGGTTTATCTCCGACCTTCTTAGCCAGCTACCCTACCCAAAGTCCTGGGACCGACTGAATTACTGGGATAGCCTCTGGGATTTTAACCTGTTTTCAAAACCAGAGCTGTCCAGATTGTGATCTGTATCCGTACCTGGCACCGAGCATCCTGGAATACCACCTTCTCCTGGATAATAATGATCATCTCTATCTGGAAAGAGGAATCTCTCGTCCTGGGGGCGTCTCTTCTCTTTTCGCTCCCTAAAACCCTCAAACCGTGTCCCCGGCCTCTACTAAAGCACTTCTATCGCATATCATCTTTTTCGGGCTCTTTAACCAAGTCTGTCCCGTGGTCACCGAAGACTTGGCCCACCCTGGCTAGGAAATACATGGGACAACCAGCCACTCACTTGAGGCTGTCCCGCCTGCTCTTGATCAACTGGAGCATTGAAACGTCACTGTAGAGGAGATTTGCAGCCGGCATGTGATTGGGGGTGTGTACGATCAAATGCATCAAGCGCATACGAGGAGGCAATATTTCGCATCAATACTGTAAGCCACCTGTGATGAGATTTCAGCAGGGACGGGAGCGCTACGGACCGCAGACAACAGGCGTCTCACAGGCACCGGCCCCTTCTGTGCAGCTGAACGTGACCCCCCGCATCGTTCATCCTTAGCGGCCTAGCGAGAGCCGGGACAAATTACGGCAGCGATCCATGGATTCAGCGGCCTGATAGATTCAATGCGCCGTCTTCAATCCTTCATGCCTCTAAAGTTGGACTTGGTTTGATGCTCCCGTTCTTTGCCTATTGACGCCCTGACATTGCAGCCGTGGTTGGACTAGTGCTAACTAAATCATAAAGCCAATTGCGGCTCTCGTCATATCTCAACTGCAATATTACAGCGCTCTTCCCTGACTCTTGCTCTCCCGTCTCTCTCTCTCTCTACGAGCATGGCCTCGTCTTGTCCGGTTGAGCTCTACACCCATGGAAGTATCACCACCCAACACAATCAGCTACTGCTATTGGCTTAGCTAGGTAGCTTTTAGCTATGCGATTCTAGCCGTGACTCGGGTTGAGAAATTAAATGCACTCAATGTTCTCTCTCATTGCTCCAAATCTTACACGCACCTGGACCCATGCAAAGCGCGTCAGATGCATGTGTGAACCAACCAACGAAGCTTCGCTAGGTCCGGCTGAGAAGCGGCCCCCAGATTGATGCCATCATGCCTGCTCCATGACATCTCAGATAGATTAAAATGCTACCTTCAGCTTCCAGCCAACTCGTATACAGAGCCAATGTAGACCCCTACCGAACCCCCCCTCTTGCTCGAATCCTCACAGCCGCATCAGCTTGGGCTGGCGTCATGCACCCATGCTGTACCTGCCATCTCAAATCACAGAGCAGCAAATCCTACGACTAAGGGAGTTGGTCTAGCTTCCTGAACCAAAGAACCGGTTACTGCTAGTGGTGCCCGGATAGAGATCCTCATCTCCCCGGTGGTGATGCTCTTGCTCTAAACCACCCTTGGTAAAGCACTGTTTCCTCTCATCTAACTCAACAAGGCTTCTTTGTGATGGATTCTCGGATCCAGCAACACCCGCGCCATCAAGCTGTTAGCTCGGTAGCCATTGACCCGAAGATACGGCTCGATGTTAGTCGCCAGCACCTGTCAAGTCACCTTGTGGCCTGTGTCATGTGTACTTCGAAATGAGGCGCACCATGAGAGCCACAATGAGCTTGAAAACAGAAGCGAAAAGAGATTAATGGGAGTCTATTGTGTCCCATACATCCCAGTCGGGCGGGTGACCAAACAATGAGACTTGTACCGACTACTGTTTTACATGTAGACAAATAGGCGGCTCCAAGTAGGCGACGATGACGATGATGTATGTGTCCGCCCTGCCGTGTCTGACGCATTTCAAGGCAAGATTGATGTAGAGAAGGCAGTGTATACTACCCTCCAACCAAGCGAGACAGCCTCACCTGCGCGGGATGTGCGGCCTACCCATGAATGGTTTCGTGCTCAGCGGGTAGATCAGTCAATCATCCCGTCAGTGCGACCGAGCGGGGGCATGGACGTGAGACTAACACATCCCCATAGGTTGACGCAGCTAGAGCAAGGAAAACAAGAGCAGCCCAATGGACGGCTTGAAACAGATAGATTATGAAAAGAGTACTCCGTAGTTGTAGCCGATTTATGTGGTTCAGCTGTAGGTGATACGTCAGATTTGCTAGCACACGGGAAAGGGGATGTTGCTACTGCTCCTTGTTGCATATGCGAGCACCACTCGTCAACCATCAAACATTGCTCCGGATTGTAACCAAGGAAACGGTGATAGAAGCTCGATACATAACGTAGATGATTCGTACTGACGTATGCAACCCACCAGAGTGCTTCTAGCCGCTGCCATTCGTCGTTGGCACCAAGTATACAAAGTACCTTGTAGGGCATCAAAAAGGGAGAACGTCCCGTTGCTTCAAACAGAAGCATATTGTGAGATGGACAGATGTCATGAAACCGCTTCAGAAACAACAAAGCGGGATCCAGTAGTATTCGGAACTCGGGAGACAGGGCTGCTCATCCTGCAGACTCGGCGTTGTAACCTTTCGTAACACAACGTAGATGTGCATATGCAGCCTTGAAAATCCTGTTGGATCGAGCCCGAGCCTTGGCCGCTGCTACCCGGTTGGCATGCCACATTTTCTTCAGTATGTAACCTCAATACAATACTGTACACCACATCCATATATGTTGCTACTATGGGAGCGGCTGAAGCTGAAGCCTGGATGCTCAGAGTCCTGTTATGAGGAAGGGGGTGACTTGGGCAGAATAATCTTATCTGGCTGGAAGTTGCGGCGAGAGAAGAGAAGATAACGCTGCTGATGCTAGTTTGGGAGGTCGAGGTAGAGAGTGAGCACGTGCGTAGTACAGCATGCGTCCATTCAATGTCCCTGTCATCGAGGAAGCACGGACATGCATCATGTATGGGGTGCATATACGAGTACTCGTACACACGCAAGGTAACGAGTTCTGTAGTACAATTGGCAGAAGATATCTTCTGGAACATCCTGATCAGCCCGTAAAAACAGTATCAGATCCATAAAAGTGATGCTTGTTCATCCATCAGGAAAGATGTATTGAGGCTGCTTGGAGTTGTCTTCACACTTCCATCACCTCTTGCCTCTGGTGTTGGAGCAGCTTTTATTTTAATTTCCACTTCGTGCTTCGCCGCTCCTATTGGACCATATCCATTGTTCGAAGATCTAACCTCATCTCCGTTGGGAATGCTGGTATTGGATATAATTCGCCGTTCACCACATAACAACACGCACTGTCCGTCTGCAATCAGGAGACGCAGCATCCAATCAAAAGCTTCCCCTTAGGGGGAAATAGAAAAGGGGCCGTATAATACCAGACTGCAGTGTAACAGGTCAGAATTTTGCATTCGTCTGTACACTGACTGACCAGGTACTGTTCCTGGTCTCCCGTACTTGCTAGGAGCGACTGTTGCAGCGGATTGTTGCCTCGTCCCTCGGCCGCAGCTCTTCATTTCTTCGTTTGGAGGCCACACTATCGACCTGTTTTTCTACTGGCTTGGGCATAAGCTCCGAGCATGCTCTGCACTGACAAAACTCGGATGGAAGCCCGCTTTCAGGGAATAAAAGCTGCCAAAGGCGCTTTGCGAACCGTGCTTGACGACGTTCGGCTTATTTTGGTGGCATCTTAGGCAGGTGAGAGAAAAAAAACCCGGCTCTGTTCGCTGTGACAGCAGGTGAGTGCGGTGGAGAGAACATCCCGGAGACTTTGATGTCGCTATTATTACTTGGCAACCTTGCGAGTTGGTCGCTCTCAACAAGGCGAAGAACGACTTCCACCCCCCTTTTCTCATCGCCACCGCAGCAATAGCAGGCCCCGTACTCTGTCTGTACTGTCCCAACGGACAAATCAGCGTGCCTGTAACGTGACTGGAAAAAATCGAGCCGTTAGAGAGGACTGCAAAAAGAACCCCATCCTCTGCTTCACCCTCCAATTCCCAAGATCAGACAGGCTAAAAGACAGAGGGCAAAAGGAGCCTTGGTGGCCTTGCATGTGCCCTTGCAGATGCAGTCATGCTGCTCGAGGTACCACGAAGCCGCTCCGTCACTGAGCTACTGCAGCAGCGCCTTTGCGGGACGTGGATGAAGCACATTTCTCAGAAATGACAAGACGACGACTGCTACCGCACGGTGTGGACGGAGTACGACGTACTTGTACGGGCTCTCGCCCCCCTTCGGTTTGAAGAGGGACGTCTCGTGACATGGCTGGCCAACCGGGTGCAATCCCCTGGCTAGGATCTCTGCATCCCTGTCACAGACCCCCTGGCATTGAGTGATGTTCACAGATTGATCGAGTCCCAAGAAACCGGAACTCCTGCGGTGTGCCCTTGTTCGCTGGTCACCACGATTTTGTGCAACCTGCATGAGCTTGTACGAGTCGCATAAAACAAACGCGTTGGTGTGCGTGCATCGGCACTTGGTGCTTTGAGCGAGCTGTACATGGAGGCATATCTAGCTCGGCGTGTCGGTTTGAGCCCTCCCTGCGTGCGTAATAAAAGGGATAATCTCGATGTGAAATTATGGCGACGCATTTCTATTAATAGTCAGTACACGTATGGTGCACAGTTTTTCGCTGCGTGAGGAAATTCGAAATTGTGTCCGGAGTAATGTAAGAGTGGCATCCACCAGCTCGGGCACGTCCAGCGAATACAGACTCATACTGTACTCGTATGCCCGACGATGACAAAAATTGACGAGGCTTTTCATTGAAAGCCCGAAATGACGGTGGACATGCTTCACACCCAACATTGCGCGCATGGTTATTACCGCTCTAGTTTGTAGTGGGCAATACTCACTCATCCAGATACATCATTCAAGGCATCCTTCCGGCACCCGTGCTGGCAAGTACGCCTATCCCGAAGGACAAGATGTGGCGTCTGCAATAAATCTGAAGTGCTGCCCGTACATGCATGAAGCGAAACGCTGATGGCGACGACTGAGCTTCCGCGGCCTTTTGGCATGTTGGAGCTAGAAGTTGTGTGAGGGGTGGGAGGGTGGAAGGGTGTGAAATAACTAATGGACACCAAAAAAAGAGAAAAGAAGCCTAGCCCAAAATGTCACGAAGAGGCCGTGGGCGAATCAAATGCGAGAATTTGCCAAATATTACCCAATCCGGACCTCGAGACAGCTTGGTACCTCTTCCCTCGTTTTCAATCCCAGCAGCTGGACTCGTCGTTGCTGCACGTGCATGGTACGGACAGGTACCGAATACCACATCGCACATTTGCTGGGAACTTGGCAAGCCTCTCTGTCCAGGCCAAGGCGCGACTGTTGGCCTTCCATGACATTGACAATACGATACAACATGCAATATTGTCCCCTCCTCATCAATACGGTACACTCTAAAAGTGTGCGAGATGAAGCTCTCCGGGAAATGGGGGTCCACCGGTTAGAACCGCCCGGAGCGGGATGACTGGGCGGCCGACCACCCAGGTGACACACGGAGCAGACACGAGCACGGCAACGGGGGGTACAAGTAGTTTTGATGGCATCTATTGGTTAGTTCACTACTCGATAGTAACTCGTACAGTAGCTGCATCTTTATCCCCTGGAAATGACTGTGCCAAATGCGCCCACGGCTTGTTCTGAACGGCAGCCGAGCTGGGAGCTTGCCGTGCCACTAGCAGACGATCACCGGCTCCGCCTTTAGGGCCGGTAATACGTGCAAGGCGCATTCCATGCCTTGCGCTCCGTATGACTTGCGATAGACCATTGCGGCTTTCTTTATCGCCTTGGCAATGACGGCTTGGAGCGTTAATGGCGACCGAAGGCTCTAATTGCATGCCCATAAGCTGCATATATTGAACAGTATTGGGTTTTAAGCGGGCATATGTAAGCTAGCTTGAGGGCAATGGTATGGAGGCAAAATACTAATCCGTGCCTAGCATTAGGCAAGGACGAGAATGATGTTGACGTTGGCGACGTTCTTACATCTACTTACTCCGTACAGGTACCTTGATAATTTTGATCAGTCCAAGGCATGGATGCGATGGGACTACCTAGGTAACCTACTATTATCTGATCAGAGAGGAGCCACAACAGGGAATCATCGACAGCCGTGCGCTGGCATCTGTTTTCCTTCGTATCTACCTAGACACCGGCAAGAATTTGCATGGCCTTTGTCTGTCCAGCTAGCCTACAGCACATACCTTAGGTACTCAAATTAAGTCCCAGATGTGCTCATCAATGCCACCTTCCATTCTACCAATCCATCTCTATGCCTCCGTCCATAGGCAGGCACCTGATAGAGCTCCAATCATACCAAAGGAGGTACTAACCTACAGTACATACATCACCGTTGCAATTTTCACATGTTGCCAAGTACTATACCCCATAGACCTGAGGATTTCTTCAGGTACAATGCACAGTTTGTAACGGTCGCTCTTCCTCGTCGTTTTTAGCCCCTAGACAGGCTGTCGTCAGCATATCAGGGATCCCCTGGCTTCCCGAAATGGTAACCTAAATGACCCCTCGCGGTTGCTCCAAGCTCCAGCCCACCGCCTCCAGTCGCACCTGCCACCCGCGCTGCACCAACGCCCGGTGCGCCTGCCGCGGACACACAAACCGTCCATCAGATATTGTACCTCTCCGACCACCCCCCTCATGCTCTACACACACCTCCCGCTTCTTCTCTCCCCACTGGTCATTTCCAGTCCTTGCAATTCCCCTGGTAGACAACCGTCTCTCCTCTTCATCCCACTTCAAAGCTGGCCAACCTGCGCAGCTTCGCCCTCTTTCTGGGGGAACCCGCGGTTCGCAGAAACGATCTTCTGGAGAAAAAAAGGAAAAGGGAAGAAAGAAAAAAGCAAGTACAATCTGCAAAAAAGCGAATCATGAACCAGAAAATACAGCAGCCATGCCTCAAGTCAGAGCAGGTATGCTTTCAACGCCTGCATCCAACAGTCAATCGTCCCTTTGTTCGCCTTGGAACTTCTTGCTCTAACCCCCACGGCATCCACGGGCATCATCAGGCTGGGGCCCAAAGGATTCACACCCACATTTTGGGAAAAACTTCCCAGCTCTTCTCTCCATCTCCCCTCTCCTCCTCTTCTGGTGGCAATGGGTAGATGGCCAGTGACTGTTTGCACTTGCAGTCCACAACTCACCACCTACTACTACGAGTGGCCAATTCGCCGGCTTGACATGTCTCAGCTTACACTGAAGCGACAGACTATTGCATCTGAGCAGCTGCCGTCTTCTTCAGACATACATGCAACTATCGCTTTACCCGAGGCCTAATGCGTGCCGAAAATCTACTGCTGCGCGTGTGAGAGCCGCAGTACTCATACGGGACCAACTGAGGGACCGTGGCAAGGGCCCGAGCCTTACTGCCAGGCAGCTTAAGCGACTGTGGATATGCTCATATGAAGCGCTTCGTACGCAGGTCACGTTGCTGCGGAAAAGTTCATCTACCTGTTTTTGGTCCGATGTGAGGAGCCCGCCGGCGATGCCATTATCCTGGTTGGCAAGGAGGCAAGAGTCCTGTAAGGACGAACCAACACCCTGGTTTTAAACATAGCCTCTTTACTCTCTCTTCCCTTTACGAGGCCCCTTGTTCGGCTGCTCTCTGGCATCTCTTCCTGTTCTCTGTTACTTACTCCAAGTTGGCAGCATCATGGCCTGCCTTAGCTAGCCCTCAAAAGGCTCGGTCTTGGACCCCCATCTCAACCCTGTCGCACCTTGCCACACCCCCTCTCCTCTCTCCTCCAGCTTTCACATCTCAGTCACTCAGCTAAGACTGGGGATCCTGTTTTAGCCTCTATTTTAGAAGGGGGCGTGTGAACAAGCTCTACCAGCCTAGGTACTGCTTGGCTTGCTCTTACCCGTTCTCCGTCCTCCCGGAGCAAAGGCCTCATGTCTGCGCTCTATCGGTACTTGAGGTTCATCACTTGTCAATTATTGTCCTTGAATCGCCTCTGCAACCTTTGCCTTAGCCTTTTCTTTCCGCTCCCCCTTGTAGTCAACTACTACTCATGCTATGTGCCTGGCGTCTTGCCCCATCCCAGACACTGGGCCCCAGTCACATCTTGGATATGGCCTACTCAGCAGCCCAAGATCTCCGGCTCACAGTACCAGGCGATTGGGCTTCCACACAACCCCAGTCACCCACAAACCTGGTAGATTGCTCCTCATGCCAATTACCTATATATCATATCGCTCTCCCAAGATCTCCCCAGCCAGGCCCCCAGTATATAACCCTCTCCACCACCGCCTTCCAGAAGGCCTTCCTCTTCCCCTATCTGTTTGACAGAGACCCTCATTCTTTACCTTGATCTATGAATTGGCTACAACAAACCTTTGGAAAGCAGATTCTCGTCCACATTCATCACCATCCCTCCAACTACTTTACCCCTTCCTAGACACTTTTTGATTACGCTCAGCTTCCTTCATTTGATTAGACCAGATCAGATCTGTGGCCGCAAGAACAGAATACCGGCTAGCAAACATGGCCCTCGAACCTCAACAACAGACTCAGGCCAACTGGACCCGTTGGCCTCAGCAGATTCCACAAACCTTCCCCATGATGAGCTCTTCTGAATTCATGCCGTTTGACCCTAGAGTCCAAGCTGGCAGCCAGATGCAACGCCAGATGTCTACCCAGTACCTGATGGACTCCAACTATAATCAGCCCCCCATGTCAACAGTCTCATCTCCTCAATACCAACATCCGGGCACATATTCCTACATGGCATATCAGAGCCCGCCGCCATCAACTCCGCTTGGTTCTCCATTCAAGACTGAATTTGCCGAACACACTCTTGCGCGTATGGCCAACTCTACGGTCGATCGACGCCATTCCCAGCCCATGAGAGGTTATCAACCCTATTCTCCTATCTCTAGGAGGGGGTCGATCTCTTCTGTTGCTACCAAATCTTCTGCTGGCCCTGGCACTCCCAGCTCTGTCGCTTCGAGTCTCGTCTCTCTAGGGCCCGTTACTCCAGCCCCCTTGGTTGCGAGTCAGGTCATCAACTCCAAGACTCTTATTTATAATGAGACAATTCGTCCGAGCGACGCGATCAACTTCAAAACTGAAGTCGACGAGCTCATGAAAGCCATTCAGAAGACACAGACGACCGAAGATCAGCAACAAGCTCCCACGCCTGTGCAGACACCAAGAGCTTGTGTATCAGACGCGCCCGTCCTTCGTACCCAAGGTGGAAAATCCAGAAAGCAGTGGGTGTGTGATGGCCCCAACTGTGGCAAATCCTTTGTCCAGAAAACCCACCGGGATATTCATATACGCACTCACACAGGCCTAAGACCATACGTATGTGCCCAATCTCCTCTCCATTACAATATCACTAATGGTAGATAGGTCTGTGACAAGGAAAACTGCGGCCTTACTTTTTCGCAGCGCGGGAATCTCAAGGTAAATCCTATCGACTTTCTTCACAGTTGTATTCATACTAACTCATTCGGTTGTTTACAGACTCATATCCGTCGCCATACGGGCGAAAAGCCATTCGCTTGCAGTGTATGCGGCAAAACCTTTGCTCAACGAGGAAATCTTCGCTCTCACGAAGAGACTCATAAAGGTCTCAAGCCGTTCATTTGCCGGCTTGACGATTGCAACAAGTCATTTTCCCAACTGGGAAACATGAAGGTGGGCAATCTAGAAATAAGTATAAACAAGTAGGCCATTCTAACATACGGAGTTTGCAGACACACCAGAACAACTTTCACAAGCCAACGCTCCAAAAACTCACCCAGATGTTTGTGCAATTCTCTGAGCATGGCGAAGTGCCGGAGAACTACCACGATCTTTTCGAATATTTTCAGAAACACTACAAGAACAGCAACAAGGGGATCAAAGGCCGAGGTAAGACTCGTGCCGTGGCAGCTCGCGGGCTTCAAGATGTTGCAGCCTCTCGAAATGCCAAGTCTCCAGTAGCTGCCCAACTCAAGACCCCTGCTACCACTCAGCTGCCTCAGATGGCTATGCCAGCCCAAAACCAAGAAGTCTCTCAAGGTAGACCTTCACCATACGCGACACCTCAGGTGCCCGCCAATGGCTTGAGCAATGTGCTGCGTAACCCCAATCCTTCTTTTGGCAACTATGGACCAACGTCGCCTCCGGTTATGTATGACATGGCTCTCTCCAAATGGGGACCCCAACACGCCTATACCAAGAATCATTAAAAACGTGGCATTCCGTTTTCTTCTGATGATTATACGAGACAGCCAAGATATACAACTGTTATCAAGGACAAGGTTACGATTGCAATGAGCGGTGCTCACATGGTACAAACAAGAATGCAACATTATTAAAGCTAAATACCCTCGACCGGAAAGAAAGAAAAAGGTTAAAAGAAAAGAAGAAGGAAAACTTCGCATCCAAGATTTGGATTGGGCATATTGTGTGGGATAGAGCGACGACAAAAATCGCCATATTGATTGTCGACAGAACATGAGCATTTAGGATGTTGTGCGACACAGCCAGTTATTGGGATTTGGATTATATTGAGCTTTAGGCCGGCGGACGGACTTACCTGTAAGAGATTGGGAGAGGCATTTTGAATTTTGGTTACGCAGATACCCTTGCATGATGGTACATTGCTACTGTTGGAGGGATGGACTTCTGCGTTTTTGGTACTGCTTCAAGGAGATGTTATGGCATGTTGCGTTTCAACACATCAACCTCGTGGGCATCTACGAGACTTATTGGTGCGGAGGTTTGTTTGTCTTTACTTTTGTACTCGGATTTGATATTGGTATTGGATGCTTTATGGGCGGCTGTGTAATTTGGTATGATATGGCAGGTATTGGGTATGCTTCTTCTTCACATGAAGAGGGCAATCATAGAAGAAGACGACGGTGGACTTTTGGCAGCATTCTGGGTTTTGGTCGGGTTGTTCTTTGCTATTTTTATGCTCATTTGTTGTTTTCTTATAAAAATTGTCTTGGGAACACTTTAGCTTCAAACATCACAACATAGTTTGGCATTTTCTGCACACTTTTGGCACCCCTTCAACGTGATTATGATGCTCCCTACTGTATGCTTGATTACGACCAGGAAGCAAGTGACAAAGTACCGACAGGGATGATGTCGTCGAGCGAATAGTGTCGCAGCGCTTGCATCGTCATGCTGGGGGTGGCATGTCACGGGGTTTCATTCCGGCGTTCCTAGTTCCAATCGACGCAATGAGACGACACGCCCGTGTACAGTAGGAGTACACAAAATCTGGGGGGCGTGTTGAGGGGAGAGGGAATAATAGGTATCACATCAGGACGAACCCACGCACCTGGACATCACCTTCTTTTTTCTTTTTCAGCCACGCAGAGTGATCTGTAACAATCGTGGGAACTGCTGGAGAAAATCCGGCTTACTCCCCCTTGCATTCGAATTAGCGATTTGGGGTGTTGCGAGGCACAAAGCTGTAGAACACGGGGGCAGCAACGTGTGCTTTGTGGTGGGTAGATCTTGATGTAAGGGAGAGCTTAGTGTTCTCTCGACTTGAGGAACTTTGTCCGCTGGCATGATGCTTCCTTGCGTCTTTATCTCATGTTACCTACCTCTTTGGAAAAAAGCTTGGTCGTGGCGTAATCGTCATAATGATTGCAAATCCGCATCGTTCTCTCGTTGTTGCCGAAGTGTATGTGGAATGTTCAAGGAAGCGTGTGCCCGTGTGTTTGATCCAGAGCACACAACCCGCACTGAGTCCCAGCAACCCGGATCCCAACTCCCCCCAGTCAGATTCTTAAAAGCGGCCCTCATCTCAGCCGCAGAGGCTAAGGGGAATAGATTGCGAGAGGGCAAAGAAGAGGAAAAAATGACAAAAAACGCAGCTAAAACTGCTGCGCACCAAGTGGAAAATGGTACGAGTACCTACACACTCTGCAAACCCCTGCTGCTTGCGGGCGCACGGGGGATTTTTCCTGCTGAAGAGGCACCCTCGAGCGGCTGAACCTGAGAAATGGAAAACACCACCTAATGGTGCTCCCATTCGCTGCATCTGGCTGGGGGAGGGGGTAGGGATTGGAAACTTGGGACGAAAGGATTCGAATGCATGTACGGAGTACCTGTTGGGTTGTATTGGGATGTGATAGATTGGGTGTAAAAGTGACACGAGCAAGAGCAGAGATGAGGGGGGTTGGTCAACAAAACGGAGATTCTTCATTGTTCTGAATCATGAATGTCACCAAACCCATGAAAATGGTCACACCCAGCAGAAAAAACCCTCGTAAGGCTTGGTATACCGCATGAATAGAGAGCGAAAAAAAAGTGTGAGGCGGAGGAAATGGTGGGGTCGGTCCAGAGCGCTGCCGAGGGTCCAATGCGAAAACAACTGACGGATACCTTTTGTGTGCACGTGTGAGGAAGGACAGGGAACATGGCTGTAAAAGTGAACCACACCAAGTTGTGTATGCTTGCTGGATGGACGACTTCTAGTTACGGCCCCCAACTCTCTGTGAGCTTCCATGGGTGAATGCGCTGAGCGGCCCAACAACGTCGAGACCGAAACGGAACCAGATCGAAGCGTAAAGGGCGTGGGGTTGGCCTTGTGGATTTTCAGAGCCATGGGCTCGTATACAGAGATGATACGGAGAAATGGAGGTGGCGTCCATAGATGCAGCTCTGCTGCACGCATTCGACACATTGCCGAAGATGAACGCCCATGAGGAATATTACACGTCGAAAACTTGGTGCAGGCATCGTTGCAGCCGAGTATCAGCTAGTGCCTTGATGCATGAGCTCTTTGGCTCGCACCATCCCACCCTTCGTTTTCACCGCTCAATGTTGAATAGTTGTTAAACCCGGTAGAGCTGCATCTGCATCGAGTGTGATGTGGTCAAAGCCGTGATTTGCTCGTATTGTCGAGCATCAGCACGAAGGAGTGATCGATGACGGTGGTATGCATTGCATGGCTCACCGCCATGACAATATCAAGAACACATGCTGCAAGATGAGAGATGAGGGATCCTAGGACTCAATACTGGGTCACGATGATTGGAGAGAGCGAAGCAAGTAAGACGGCAGGCGTGTATACTCGTACAAGCGCACACAAGTTTGCTGAAGCTAGAACATGCGCTCGGTTATGAATTTGGACAGCTTCGCGAGAGCGCAACGAGATAACAACGCTAGTATCATGGTTTGAATAGAGTGCTCCGTATAATACGTAGCATTGGGTATCAAGGGGTGTCTGTCAACCGAAAGACCGGTTCTTTCAACTTCCCATGGAACGTCTTCCTGATCTGCACCCCCCCGCGTTCGTATGAGTGGCGGACGAAGCTGGGGCAGCAGAACAGAAAGCTTCGGATCTCAACAAAGATTCATGCGAAGCTTGGCAGCTTGTTGGCTGTACAATGTATAGCGAGCTGAACCATCCCAGCTGAGCCACCCATCGTCACAACGTGGAATCGACTATCAGGCGCCGCACACTTCCTTCATGCAGGGAGTAGTACGCTGCTGCTTTCGACGGAGGCGATACTCTAACAATAGAAAATGGACACAAGCATCTAGCACAGACGAGTCAAGGCCCATGTTGAAGCTTTAGCCGCCATGCAGGGTCGATACAAAGAGGATATTGTCGCCGCTCTTCAGCTCATATTCTTCTTCTCCCTCCAGCTCCCAGTCCGCATCATTGATGAGTACTAGGATACCTGGTCGTCTGTTGAGATTAGCATCAGTTTGCCACTAGTTGCAATAAAATGAAGTGCTATTGTTGGTCCTTCGCCGTGAGAGCTCTATGATAGGCCGGGGTTGATACAGGAGGCAACTCATCACAAACACTATCGAGCCATGGTCTTGATACTGTGCGAGTCGTGTAGCTGAAGGGGCAAGGGGACCAGGGGAGGTAGAGCTCCAAAGGAAGACCGTCCATCGATTCAAACACAATAGCTCGTGGGGGAGGGTGATGAGACATACAGATGCTCCTGCAGGACGAAAAGCTCCTTGCGAGTGTCCTTCATGACATTCTCGCAAAGATGATGTATCAAATACGCAATGTTGGAAGGGTTGCCATCCTTGTCCTTGGCAGGCAGAGTGAGGGAGTGGCGGCGTTGGTCCGAGAAGAGCATCTCAAGGCCTCCTCTGTATAGCACAGTTAGCCTACCCTTGACATGTATGGCAACCCAGATGAGGAAATGAAAGGAGGAGGAGATGCGTCGAGGCTGGCCACAGTATCACCATTATGGCGTCTCGACAATGGTCCGGCTGTAGGGAGGAAAGGATATGTGACGAGAATGCTTTAGGCGCATGAGAAGGGGGAGACTTACGAAAACTCCACGTTCAGGGAGAAATGCGCAGTGGCGTCGTCGGGGGTGGAAGCCATTTCGATGAGGCTCGATCCAGCGGGCTGTGACTTTTCACGGGGATCGAGTGTTGGTGGCAATGGCATCTGGCAGGCGGGATCTGATAACGGCGGCAGAAGTGACACAGGCGCGGCGTATCATTAGCCCTTGTTCCGGCCTAGCCCGTCCGCACCAGCCCTAAATTGTAGCGATGAATAAGCGCTGTACGAAGCGCTGTTAGAAGGATTGATGCTTCTAGTACAGGTCTCAAACCAGAAGTTTCATATAACAATCGGATGTCTGACACGGGATTCCTGCCCTACATAGACGAAATATCTACTCAGAATAATGGATTGTATACAGTTTACGACAATTCAACTGCCTAAACGTAAAATATAATCATATCCAAGCTTAAAATTACTGAATAGCCGTGCTGTAACTGTGTAACATTCCACAAAGCCTCTGCTTTGCCTTGGTAGCCCCGTACCGTGCAAGCGCCAAAAACCGCCTAAGATAAAAAAGTTCTTGTCACAAGCTTGTCACGTGGATCCCTCTTCCGTCGATGAATCTGAGTCTCAGTCAAGTCCACACATAAACGGACAGAAATATATTGGTGATATGAGCTCAAAAGACTTGACGGTAGAGCATCTCGCGGCCGGTGCGAATAGACAGACTGCGGTTGCAGACTGGAGTCGGACGGGGCTGCTGGCTTATGGAGCCGATTGCAATATCGCTCTATGGCGCCCAGCTGTGAGTTTTATCAAGTTTACCATGATATCATGCATTCACATACAATGTTTTCTTCTCTTTCAAAAGGCATGTCTCTGACTTAGATTATCTTTTATAGGCCAACTCTCCTAGAGGTGTATTTAGACTCTTAAACGGGCACAAGGAAACTGTCAAGGCTATATCGTTTCTGCCAGAGCTGGACAGTGACCTCTCGACATACTTCATCAGTGGCTCAGACGACAAGACCATAGCTGTCTGGAAGTCTACTGATGATAGACAAGACTTCAAACTGCTTCAGACGGCGTCTGAGCACACCGGGCCTGTAAACTACGTTGCCGCCCTGCGAGTTGCTGCCGACCAGCCAAAATGGATTGTCGCAACGGGAGCAGCAGATGCGACTGTCAGGATATGGAGTTTTGAGAATGAACAACTACAACTAGTCCAGACCATCAACACAGCGCCAAAATACTTCCCTCTATCACTCTCACTCAGCACTCTCGGCGCCGATAATGGCGCTTATATCCTCGCCTCAGCCGGCACAAGGGATGTCATCCAGATCCTCACAGCCGAGACAAAGGCAGACAGCGTTCACTTCCAGCTTCAGGCAACACTCAGCGGCCATGAGGGCTGGTTGAGATCCCTAAGCTTTTCAAGAGAAACAAGCAGCCCAGACAGCGATTTGCTTCTTGCATCGGCCAGTCAGGACAAGTACATCAGAATCTGGAGGGTTCACCAGGGCAAAGAACTCCCCGCCCTGGCTGCCGAAGGCTCAGACCCATCAAGCGGCGCCTTCATGCCAGGAAAATCCCCGTCAAACAAAGCACACTGGCTCAAGGTTTCCGGCAAAGACTTTTCTGTGACGTTTGAGGCCTTGCTTCTGGGCCACGAGGACTGGATTTACAGCGCAAAGTGGCATTCTCAGGCTGATGGCAAGCTGCAACTCTTGTCTGCTTCTGCGGATAATTCCTTGGCTATCTGGGAGGCTGACCCCAGCTCCGGTATTTGGGTCAGCATGGTCAGACTTGGAGAGATTAGCAGAGAAAAGGGCGCTACAACAGCAACAGGCAGCACTGGCGGTTTCTGGACTGGTCTCTGGTCTCCTGATGGAAAGTCCGTGGCTTGCCTGGGTAGAACAGGCAGTTGGAGAAGATGGGAGTATGACGTCTCGGAAGATATGTGGCGACCTTGCGTTGCCATCTCTGGCCACACAAAAGCCGTCACCGGCATCTCCTGGTCCAAAGATGGCGGCTTCCTTCTCTCTACGAGCTCAGATCAGACGACTCGTCTCCACATGAAGTGGAAGAGCTCTGGTACCTGGCACGAAATGTCCCGTCCTCAGATTCACGGCTACGATCTTAACTGCATCGACTCGCTAGGCTCCTCCCAGTTTGTGTCTGGCGCCGATGAGAAGCTCATGAGAGTCTTCAGCGAGCCCAAGGCAGTGGCCACCATGCTCAGCCGTCTAGGGGGCATCGAAGGAACAAACATTGCAGACATGCCCGACGCCGCCAACATGCCCGTTCTGGGCCTCTCAAACAAGGCCATCGACGCCCTAGACGACGACCAAGAAATTCAACCCATAGACGACCGCGACCGAGACGCCATCGACCCGGCCTCCATCGTCAAGAAGTCCTATCTAGACATTGACCACCCACCCTTTGAAGAAACCCTCTCCCGACACACCCTCTGGCCCGAAACGGAGAAGCTCTATGGCCATGGCTACGAAATTTCGTGCCTTGCCGCCAGCCACGACGGCAAGCTCATCGCCAGCGCCTGCAAGGCCAGCTCCGTCAACCACGCCGTCATCCGCATCTTCGAGACGGACAAGTGGACCGAGCTCAGACCCCCGCTAGCAGCCCACTCCTTGACGGCCACTCGGTTGCGCTTCTCTTCCGACGACAAGTATCTCCTGAGTGTCGGCCGTGATCGCCAGTGGGCTGTCTTCGAGCGAGGCGTCGGAGAAGACGGCACTGTCCAGTATCAGCTGCTGCAGGCCAACGCAAAGGGCCACTCGAGAATGATCCTCGATGCCGCATGGGCCCCCTCTGCGGCACCTCTGTTCGCCACGGCCGGTCGTGACAAGCAAGTCAGAGTATGGTCTCTGTCAAAGCCAGATGGCGAGGACGCCAAGGCTAAATTCACCCAAGTATCTGCTTTGGCTTCCGACGGCCCAGTCACATCAGTCGACTTCCTGGCACAGCCCGTTGGTGATAAATACATCCTCGCAGTCGGTACCGAGAGCGGGCGGATTAGCCTGTGCACGGTAGCTCAGGATGGCTCCTCTGTCTCAGAGTTGCCGACATCTTCTGAGTAAGTTTGTTCCCTATTTCGCTTCTTTGAAGCTGAAATCGCTCGAGACTTTTGCTCTTTTCTTCTCAGTATTTGACTAACAGTCATGGATAGGTTGATTCTTCCCAAGACGGTGCTTCAACTGGCCTGGCGGCCGGTAAGCAAGGACGAAAAAGAGAGCAAGTATGAGCTCGCCGTTGCAGGAGAGGATAGTTCATTGAGGCTGTATGGCTTTGGAGAGAAATACTTTAAAGAGCAGAAACACTCATAGGCGCCTGAATTAGATTTGAATTGGATACCGTACATTCACAATTTGCTAAACACAAATAGACTGGACATTCCATTGCGGTAGAAAGTTTTGTATTGTTCTTAATTAATTCGTAGTATTTCTAGGAGCATATCATTATTAATGTACCATCTGGCCATTCTATTAGGCTTCCTCATAAATCGACCTGCCCAACGCCATATTTTAAAAAAAACAAGTCGAAGCAGACTGCATCAACCAGAGCCTCTCGCTACGCTCTCCATATTACGTCGAAATGGTTCAATTCGCCAGGTAGCAGCTCATCGGTTCACTCTTCCCTGTCCCAGTTTTCGTATCCATAAACTTCATAAGAGCCTCGGCCCATCAATCCTTAATTGTTCCGCCTCACAGCTCCCTGACAACCGCTGCAGCGTCCTTACCAGTTCCCATCGCGCTGCTAAAGACGTCTCGCGTGAAGGCCGTAATGTCAATGGTCTCGCCGTTGATGTAGTACCACGCGCGACCGGTCAGAATGGAAATGTGATGCGGGAGGTATAGGATGACGGCGATGGAGAGCAGGCTGAAGAGCAAAAACACAATCGAATCTAGACAATTACCAAAAAAAAGTTCCTGTTAGCAGCAATTCTTTAATAATTCTAGGTGTTGTGTCGTGAGCGGGATTGCCGGAATCAATCATCATGCCATCCCAAAAGGGGGTCACGGGAAACAATGAATCGTCAGGCGAGAGAAAAAACGAAGAAACAGGGAGACGGCAATGGGCAAGGGAAAAGAGAACATACAATAAGCAAACTTCTCCACTGGCGAAAACAGATACGTCCCAAACGTAACGTCAATCTGGAGCATCTTCCGCTGGATCATGCTCTTGATGCCTTGCGACGCCATGTCGAATTGAATTGACGAGATGCTTTCCACCCAACAGACGGTCTAGTGTTGTTCTCTGAGTCTTTATCTCCTCGCAATGAGCAAGCTGCTTCGTGGTTTTTGCGGCTTGTCGGTGTTCTTTTCGGATCGCGAGGTGTTTGTTCGTGGAGAGGCCAATGTTTCGTCTCGGGTCGGAATGGTGATGGAGGAAAGGGAAAAAGGGCAAAATTACACGTTCCGGTCCGGTTGATGTCGCTGCATGTGCTTTCCGTGCTAACTTTCCAGCGCTGTTTATAGCAGGGTGCACGCCACAAGCCACGCCCGGCCAAGGCTAGTTGCTCATTTTAGTGGCTCAACCTCCGCCATCTTTGACTTTATGGTCATTTTAGAGCATCATCGTGGGCAACATCAAATTGCCGTACAAGAAACACGCCCTTGCTCTAACCATGTTTCGCTTCACATCTTCGTTCCTCACAACCTTCATATACCCAATTACATTCACAGCTAGAATCATACCTAAGCATCCCTTCTTCAGCACCCTCGGCGCCCTCTCAAAGAGCCTCCCACCCCGTCCAAAGCCCCCACCAGACTCCGAAATCGAAGAGTCCTACCTCAAAGGCAGCGGCCCCGGCGGCCAAAAGATCGTACGTACCCTTTCTTCAGCACGCAGGGGATCGCCTCTTCTCTTCATTTTCTGTGGAAGCAACAGTGCCTAAGAAAATTGTTGCGGTTATTTCTCTAGAACAAAACCAATTCGGCCGTCCAACTAAAGCACATCCCCACCGGCATCGTCGTCAAATCCCAAGCCACTCGATCCCGCAGCCAAAACCGCAAGCTAGCCCGGGAAATTCTGGCGCAGCGGGTTGACGAATTCATCAATGGCGACCAGAGCCGCTCAGCGGTGGTCGGGGCGATAAAGAAGAAGAAATCCGACAGCGCAGCCAAAAAGAGTCGACGAAAGTACCGGCTGCTAGACGAGGAAAAGGAAGAAGCTACCACCATTGAGAATGGCCCGATAGAGATTCCCGAGCTGAGTAACGACACAAGACAAGATACAAGCAGTCATGACGGTAATCCGACCACTGGTAGCAGTCCCCAATCAGGGCACGAGTCTCCAGGTGGAAAGCATGACAGTTAATCGCACAAATATAATGCCCTACATGAAGACGAATATAATTACGAGGTCCATATACTGTAGTACGGGTGAAGTTGAGACGCGAGGCAGTCATTGTCATCTAAGACCGGAAAGCGAATAAATATTTGTATCAACCTAAGTTTCTAGCCCCTAGACTCGCGTTGCGCATCCAGCCCAGCTGCCATACACGAGCCGTTGTATCCTCATCGGAGAAAAGCCAACGCCCACCCCCTTGACCCTGTCAAAAACTTTTCGTAAATATGAGACTCGATCGCAATACGTGCGAAGCCATGGAAGCACTGCATGATTCGCCGCCTCCATGAGCTTGGCACGAGTGATTGGCGAAGGATGTGAGGTATTGTCTTTGACCTCGCGTAGCTTCTAAACGAGTTGCTATTAGCTTCTTGTCTTCCGAGATCATGTGACGGCGGCCATCTGCGCCTTTCTAAAAATAAGCTTACCTTAGAAGCACTTGCGGTGGACGATGGAGGGACCGCTCTCGTCGTACTCCTGCTTGGAGATCCACATCTGCTGGAAGGTGGACAGGGAGGCCAGAATGGAACCACCGATCCAGACAGAGTACTTTCGCTCGGGAGGGGCAATGATCTTGACCTTCATGGTAGAAGGAGCAAGAGCAGTAATCTCCTTCTGCATACGGTCGGAGAGACCGGGGTACATGGTGGTACCACCAGACTAGAGTAGAGAATGCAATTAGCGCCACCATACATAAATCGAAAAGCTGTGAGACTCGATTAAAAACATACCATGACAATGTTGCCGTAGAGGTCCTTTCGGACATCGACATCGCACTTCATGATGGAGTTGAAAGTGGTGACGTGGATACCACCGCTCTCAAGACCAAGGACAGAAGGCTGGAACAGAGCCTCAGGAGCACGGAATCGCTCGTTGCCGATGGTGATGACCTGACCGTCGGGAAGCTCGTAGGACTTCTCCAAGCTGGAGCTCTGGGCAGCAGTCTGGATCTCCTGCTCGAAGTCGAGGGCGACGTAGCAGAGCTTCTCCTTGATGTCACGAACGATTTCTCGCTCGGCGGTGGTGGAGAAGGTGTAACCACGCTCAGCAAGGATCTTCATCAGGTAGTCGGTAAGATCACGACCAGCCATGTCAACGCGAGCAATGGCGTGAGGAAGAGCGAAACCCTCGTAGATGGGGACAACGTGGGTAACACCGTCACCGGAGTCGAGCACGATACCGGTGGTACGACCGGAAGCGTACAGGGACAGAACGGCCTGGATGGAGACATAGAAGGCGGGGGCGTTGAAGGTCTCGAAGACGATCTGGGTCATCTTCTCACGGTTGGACTTGGGGTTGATGGGGGCCTCGGTGAGCAGGACGGGGTGCTCCTCGGGGGCAACACGCAGCTCATTGTAGAAGGTGTGGTGCCAGATCTTCTCCATGTCGTCCCAGTTGGTGACGACACCGTGCTCGATGGGGTATCTCAGTGTCAAGATACCACGCTTGGACTGAGCCTCATCACCGACGTAGGAGTCCTTCTGACCCATACCGATCATGATACTGAGCAAGATTCGGTCAGATCCAGTGTCCTTTCAAAAAATGACGAACCGAAAATGGAACAGCCGACACGCGAGCTTGGATTTTGACAACTTACCCATGGTGACGGGGTCTTCCGACAATGGAGGCTGTTTGGCGCTGTTAGCAAAACTGTCATTGTGAAGCAAAACGTGCGGTGGCGCGCGCACGCCCAATCACCCCAAAGCGTATAGCTATGGTGGGCAGTTGGTAAGGGGAGCAGAAGTGGGGTACTCACGGAAAACAGCTCGGGGAGCGTCATCACCGGCGAAACCGGCCTTGCACATACCGGAACTGCAGAGGTGTCAGCTATTGATGTTCAGGAAAGGCAAAAGGATGGCGGCGTGATGGAGTTGGAGATGCAATTTGTCCTTGTCCCAGCGCGGCGTGGCTGGCACCAGCGATGCCTCATGGTCCGCAGACAAGATTGCCAGACAGGAGGTTTATGATGTCGGTGAGACAATGGCGGGGGAGGGAATCTTACCCATTGTCGATGACGAGGGCAGCAACTTCTTCTGTAGAGCAGCAAAAGCAAAAGGTTAGCCAAGTCGTGTCAAGCGTCAAACGCATCCTCGCGATGCTTCATCCATTGGCCTCGGCACCAGGTGGCCGGACGCGATGCCTGGTGGCAGGTGCACGTACCCTCCATTGTGACTGATTAATGTATGAAGCTGATGGAAAAGTTGGGTAGAGACAAAAGAAGAAGCTCGCGCGATCCCAGGATCTCGAGGGTTAGCTTGAAGGGGGAAGAAAGAGGTCGAAAGTGAGGAAATATTAAGGTGACACGCAGTCGAAAGCTGGCGATTGGGGGGTGGGTGCTGTTGAAGAAGTAGAAAGAGTGGAGGGGGAGGAAAGGAGGGAAGTAAGTATCTCCGCTACCACGATGGGCACAGAGTTGTGGGCGGGACAATTGCGTGGTGGAGCAGCCTTTGTGTGGGAGGCGGCGAACCAGGGCGAGACCGCCTTAGCTCAAAGTACCTGGATGCCCGGGTCTAGGTACCGGCGGTGCTTCGTTCTCTGTGCGAGGAACCTTGCGCAGGCCACGGAGTACCGACGCGGCCGCCCAACAGGGGGATGGCAGCGCTGCCTGCCGCTTTAAGCGATTGGCTCATGGCGGTGGCTGTGGCTGGGGCCCTACCGTACAAAGGACGAGTACGCATCAGCGTCCGGTGCCACTAACACGCTTCTCCATCGACCTCCTTTAGGTCTCCTTTAGGTCCCCTTAGGTCCCCTTAGGCGCTACAGTAAGGTATCTACCAGTGGGGAGGGGGAGGGGCTTGCACCGCCAGATCAACGCCATCGTCACCTTTTGCCCCCAGCTGCTGTCGAGCTGCAACTTGCTCCATTGCCTGTAAGCACATCCACCGCCAATTGCTTTTGGTGCTAGCTGGAGGATAAAGACCGCCTGATCGCTCACCAGCAGCTTGACGCTGTGCCACGGGCATGATGGGCGATGGATTGGTGCCGGGTCGAGCTAGTCGAGGCAACAAAGATGCTAACTACAGTGCTGAGCACAAAGCAAACGCATGTACGCGGCCCAGTACGCAATCCACCAAGGCTGAGGATCCGAGAAGCAACATTCGCCGCCTTGCCTTGTTTCATGCCGCCAGGCTCCGAGATACTTGAATACTTGAACACACAAACCGGGAATGAGATGAGATTGATGCTCCGGGAGGGGCACTTTTGTGAGGCTCTCCCAAAGTGACGGCCCCCCTTCCGTGGTTGATGACAGCCGATAAGGGGGGTCCTATGTGTGGCTGGTTCTCTCCCAGGTACTCCGGACTTTGGCTGCTGATTGACATCATGAAAGCTCTTTGTTGGTAGCATGCCGAAGGGGGCCCTTTGATGCTCTTTCGGGGGGCTTTCAATCTCTCGTGTACCCCGTGCTCTGGCCCTTTGTGCAGGGTCTCCAGATGAGACATCAGCTTGATTCATTCCACGTTAGGCAGAGAGATTATTGCACTCTTTGTCCATGGCTTTGAGGGTTGAGGCAGCAGCATTTCAAGCGTTCCATTTGCTTTAGGCATGTTGCATTCCAAATCCCCAGATTTATCCGCCTATCGAGTGCGTAATCCGGCCTCGCATCCAGAAGACGCCGAGTTTGGTGCCAGTAAGCAGAAGCACACCAAAGAGCTGGTGACGGCTTTTAGCCCCCTTTTCGCTATCAAATTTCCCCAGCCAAGCTCATTTGGCCACGCCAACACGTCGCTGTGCAGGAAGCGGAGGAGGGGGACACGACAACCTCAGGCCGGGCCCAATATGGCTAGTGCCTTTGCCGCCTTAAGCTCACCAAGCTGCTCGTATCTACTCCGTCGCATCACGTGAGGCATGTGGATAAGTCATCTTGAGTGGGATTTGGACTGTGTAGGGTATCAGACAGCGACGGCCGTTAGCTTCATGGAGCATGCAAATGCTCCCTAGTTGGAGCACTGGATCAAGATCTTTCGGGAGATCTAGAGCTGCATGGCGCGGAATGCTGCAGATGGGCTGGTCCAGAGGGGACAGGAAATAGGCGAGGCAAGGCTGCGGTAACTCTTAAGACTGTCTCAGCTCAGCAACGCGTGGTTGCTATTTACAGCTGGGCAAAGAAGGCAGACGGATACATAGATGGGCTTGGCCTCTTCCTTTCTGAGGTTGAATGTTTCCAAATCTCACAGGCACTGATTGTATTCATCTGCCTACTACCTACTACATCTAGTACCCTGCGTGATGGAGCAATACCTTCTTATAATGGTTTCACAAAGAACGGAGTACATGGGTACACCATGCCAGTACATATTCCCTTTGAAATCAGCTGAAGGATGGTCTTGTTGCTACGTCACCTGTCAGATCTCGGCATCTCTGGGGCCAGCTAGGCATCTCTTTTTCTACACTTAGTGGTGTCAAAAGAAAGCTGGATACCGCTCCTGCGACTTTGTTCGTAATCCAAGGGAAATTTAGTGTTGAAGGCAGCCCATGACATTTTCCATACTAGGCTACGGTTATAGAACCCAACGCTGATCGAGTTCTAATGATAGTATCAGCTTCTATCTGAGTCAGGCATCGCCGTGTGTGATCATGCGTGGTGGACAGTACGGAGTACGGAATACTCGTACAAGCCACCATCTGGGCTGAGATGAACAAGTGGGGTAACGTTTCGTTCAATCAGCCTCTTGAGATTAGCTGTTTTACGGTTAATTCTCCGACTCAAACAGAAGGGTGCCGATTCTGTGATCAACCGAGCCCGAGAATACAATTTCCAGTCATTAATCCTCGGAGATTTGGCTCACCTCGAGTTTAATTACCTACTGAGTGAAGCTGATGATCAAGTTCTCGGTTTGGCCGGGATGGAACTCCAGGTAAGGCTAAGGCTGGATTGTAAGGAGTAGCCCAAGCCAAGGTCAGAAAAAGCGAGACCGCAAAATGAATACGCACATACATTCAGTAATATGAGCACCTAAGCAACTCAGCACCCGAACTTTAGTATAAATATAGTAGCAGGTATTAGAAAAATATAAATATAACAGCAGCTAGCAAGAAGAATATAAATATAATACCAGTTACTAGAAAAATATAGATATAGTAGCAGTTACTAAAAAAAATTAAATATCGTAGTATTTACTAGAGAAATATAAATATAGTAGGGAAATGTAAATAGATATCCATTAGCAGCTACTCCTTTTGTAGGCGCATGGCTCGACTCGTGGGTGTTCGAAATCTTCCCGGTCTCGATTTTTCTAGCCTTACCAGGATCTTGTAACACTAGTCCACATCTGGCCTAGAGTCTTCTTGAAGTTTCCAGAAACTGCATTACCACAAGCGAAAATCTGAGGAACTTCGAGAACAATTTCAGCATCAAAATCAAAAGCACAAGAGAGCGCTCCATATCTCTTTATCCTCTTCATTACACAATTACCCACACGTACTCTCGCTAAGCCAAACAATAACGCTACCATGGGTGACAAGCGACTCAACGACCTCCTACGATGGAGCATCGAAAACACTGAGAGCACCGAGTTTCCAAATGGCCCCTCCACCGGAGCTGAAGCCCAAGCACCACCTCCGACAAACCTCACTCCGGAGCTGATGGCCGCTCTCATGGGTGGCCCCTCCGATGCCGACCTGATGAAGGGCTCCATGGAACTCATCAACGATCCCGAGGTTACTCTGGAAAACAAACTCATCGCCTTTGACAATTTCGAGCAACTCATTGAGAACCTCGACAACGCCAACAACATCGCCAACCTTGACCTGTGGACCCCGCTGCTCGAGCACCTGCGCAACGAGGAGCGCGAGCTGCGCAAGATGGCGGCCTGGTGCGTCGGCACGGCTGTCCAGAACAACGAGCGCACACAGGAGCGTCTGCTGGCCATGGGCGGACTGACGCCTCTGGTTGAGATGGCGCTGAAGGAGGACGAGGCCGAGGACGTTCGGCGCAAGGCAATCTATGCGCTGAGCTCCGCCGTCAGGAATTACCAGCCTTCGATGGATCTCTGCACGGACGAGCTGAACAAGAGAGGGTTTACTGCGGCGAAGACTGACGCTGCGGATATGGATGCCGTTGATGTTGTCATTCACGGTCTCAGGGAAAAGGTCAAGGCTGCGGCTTCTGCTTAGGGTGTGGCGTATTAAAGCGACTACAATAAAAAGGAACATTGGGCGGAGTTGGGGCGTTTTAAAAGGTCTTGGATGAATCAACCGATAGGGACTTGCATGTAGAGGTATCCTACAATATTCATACATTGTATCTAACGGTTATATATTTTCACGATACATGTGTTGTACAATTTTTTTTTATATCCCCCGCATTTTTTCTAATATTTGTCAAGTGATGTCGCCGATGTGATATTCATCAATGTGTAATCTTTCCGTAGAAAGGGAATCCTAATGCTTCCATGAGCAGCCTGCCCTGTCTATCCGAGGTCGCAGAGGTGTGAATAAAGATATGGCAACCAGGCATCAGCTTAGGAGGATACATCTATCGCCAAAATGTCAGTATTCAGGGTTCGCAACAGGGCCATTCCGTCAGGATAATACTCACATCGTAGTTGAACTCAATCTCCGGGAAATAAGCCATCCAGGCAGGCTTCATACCAAATGCAATATTGCCCGCGCTGTCACCACTGGTGGCCTTGATGCCCGGCCAGTCCTTGATCTTGGGCAAAACCAGCGTCACCAGCTTGTCGACAAAGTCGTAGGCCGCAGCACCGCGCAGGGTGGTCTTGGCACCAGCCTTTGATCCCTTTCGGACACCCCAGTGAATGACATTGTGCTTCACAGTCGTCACCTCGGGGAACTGGCCGCTGATGGCTTGGACCACGGCGCGGGCGACATGAAGGTACTCCTTGTTGTCGGCAGCCAGAGGAGCATATGAGTTGATGGTGACGGCCTCGATCTCGGGAATGTTGTGCCAGGCGACATCCCGCTCTAATATTCCAAGCCTCGACGAGCCTCCACCTCTTGGCCCTCTGCTAGGTCGATTCTTGTGATATGGCGAAGATCCGTCCCACTGGCGCAGCACTCCCTTCTTCGATTCGACTGGCGTAGTCCCGGGTGGGGTGTGGTTGTATGTGAGGGTCATTAGGTCTGGCGCAATGGTGCTATCGTACGTGTGCTTCAAGCGAGGGAAGCTGAATGGTCCAGGAACGAAATCGCGAGCCGTGGGATCGGATGAAGGCGGCGCTTGAACTGGGTGCAGAGGACCTCGATTGTATTTGGGAGGATGGTACTGGTATCTGGTATTCGTATTAACATGGCTTCGTCCACCTGAGCATGTGATGGCAGCACGCACCGATTACCAGGGAGCCGTCTTCCCGTTCGGCTTTGGCTTTGTGAATCCTCAAAAGCTTTAATGGTGTCCTTGTCCGGCTGCGGCGCCGAAAACGAGGATGCCGATTCAATATCGGCGATGCCCTCAGCCTTCACACTGGCATTGTGTGCCACTCTCGTGGAGGCAAATCCTCTGGCGCATAGCGGAACAGAGTGGTTGGTTGGCAGCTTTTGCCTCAAGGCTCTCGCCAGGCGAGCACCCTCTCGAGAAACCGACATTGTCGCCTGAGCAAAAGACGCAATGCTTCGTCTGAGGTGTCTTTCTATACAGCCCACCATGATCTCGAGACAATTGGGAATTTTCCAATTGCTAGCTGCTGGGGCACTAGCCACAGGCTAGTCCCGCCAGGGTTTGCGCCACACCATGGCCGTTCGCATCGGGCGGGAATGTGGCCGTGCACCGTCCCTCTCTGACCCTTGCACGCATGAATACAGCGTCAGCTCAAGGATCTCAGCGCCGATAGAGTAAGATCTCGTCGGAGTCAGTCGAAACTACCTAGTCAATATAGATGATTATTAAGATCTCGTTCAATATTCAAGCAGATCAGATGTATAATGGAGTGATATCCTTCAATATCCAAGGCATTGAACCGATACTCATCTCACCTAAATCGCCTGGTAATGCAGCATGTAAGTCACCGCAAGAGAGGTGCCCTGTTAGTCCCTCAACTCTACGAATTTGGTATTTCGTATCATAGTATGGAATCAGTGCACCGTAATCAATATTAGCCGTAGATAGTGGATAAGATTACACAACAAGATGTTACACAATACTGCGCCTGTCGTGCTATTGATTCTCTGGTTCGCCCATCTTCGGCGGCTCCTTGGGACTAGCCTCTACTAAGCCGCCTGACTTGACGAGTTCCTTGTTTCTTTCTGCTGATTCGATGCATTCAGTCACGCCATGAGGAGTGAAAGCCGCTGACATTTCAGTGTCCTGTATGTAGCACGTATCTGCTCAGCACCAGCAGACACAGAGCGATGATTCATACAAGTCCTTGGCACTCAGCTTTTGCGCAGATACTTTCTTCGTCCAGCATGACCTTTGGGGGCAAGGCGATACCGGATGATTAGGGCTGGAGAGAGATCAACAGCGGTGACGTTATTTACTTCTGTTGGGAGGTACTATATTCACTTCAAGTCTTGACCTGGGCCGAAATAACCTGCTCTAGGTTTGTACCGGGTATACATGAAGCTCTCTTCTTTCTAATGGTGAATTTAATCTTAGTTAAGACATGGGTCTTCAAACATTTCTCAGGCATACAAAAAGATAAAAATGGCTGAGAGGAAGCATCCGCCACTTTAGAGCTGAGGTTCGTCCTAAAACTTGGAACGGCTAGTACCCGTATGTTACTAGCCTACACCCAATGCTCATATGTCAACGGGTAGAGGGAAGGTTTTTGGATAGGCTCGTGACGGAAATAAATATAGCACATGAACCCTGACAAGCTTACATGTAGGTTAGTTGACCGAATCTTCCAAAAGATCGCCCTAGCTGTTAGTAAAAGACCCCTCCTGTGATCCCCCTCGCGCGCAATGATCTCTAGTCCCGCCTCTTCCGCACGACTCAGAAAAGACTCGATACTTTGGCAGGCAGGTAACATGACCGCGATGTGGAGATGAACGAGTTGCTTAGAAGTGCGTAGACGTGCGTAGACTCCATGACGGCCGAATATCGTCTGCCTTGAGCGCGGTTGGTAGAATTACGTAGGCATTCGTACGCAGGCCACGAGGCCGCTGGAATAAGTCAGTTTAGCGAGGCACGAGAACGCAAGGATGGCAAAGGGCCGCCTTAGCACCGCGCAGATGTTCCGTCGTTCAGCTTCAGGTCGATCAAGGCAGCCGAATTTGCGGATCTGGCGGCCCTGAGGCGAAGCGAAAGCCCGATGCCTTTTGCCTGTGCTGTGCATGTTGATTCACAAGGCGCAGATGATTGGCGCCAAGCCGTGATAAGGTCAATTGCGGATCCTGCTGCAGCAGCCCGCGAAAAGGAATTTCCAAGGGTGCAGCGCATGTACGAAGCAACCAGACAAATTAGACTGAGGTGCATGAGCAGAGTCTGCAGGTGGCAGCGATCTATAAATCTCTCAATGCCACCGTGAGGCTTCGATGGGCTGTCGCAGGGTGCCACCTCAGTGCAGTATCGCGCCGCGCTATAGCGTCCCTTAGGGCCCTACAGCCCACTATCAGCCCCTGGCAAGACCGGGTCCACCCAGTGTCCCGCCCCCGCCACTGTAACATCAGCCAACACGAACCACTAACTTTAGCACTCACTTTGCTGCCGACCGGACCTTATTTGAAGCTGCGCCTGGAACCACTCGAGTCCATTTGATGGAGTTGTTGCGCAACTCAACAGCCGTCATCTCTCCTCCTTCACCAGTGCTGTACTGCCCCGGAAAGTTCTGTTCTCGACAAGCCTCTGAACTTTACACTGCAGCTGTTGCTCCTCATCCACGTCTGTGGCGCAGCGTTTCCCCTCGAGCTAGACCTGTCCGACACGAAGCCGAACCCTGGCAGCCATCCCTCGCACAGCGGCCGACGAAGAAGAGTGGCCGTCAGGCTGAAACAAGAAATAAAAAAAAAAGACTCCGATATACAAGAAGCCATCGTCGCAATACGTCCTGCCCCCCGCCAGCGCCAGCGCCTCGCCGAGACTTGTCTCGCCCTATAATGGGGGCGCACCGAACGCCTCATCTCTCGCTGGTCGTCGCGAGAGCTTGATTTCCACCTGCTCTACGTTTTTAGTCGTCATCGGGCTTCTGGCCGTCATCCTTGAACGATGAAGGAATTCCCGAGGAAGTTTCTCAGCCTACGGGATAAGAGCGGCGAGCACCATCGCAGCAAGTCAGCTCCTCCCGCAAATAAGGTAAATCACTTCCCATCAGTCACCAGTCAAACTCCTCATTCAACATGGGACTGTCATGGCGGAAGATTTTGAATCATCCATCATACGTCGCTCTTGGTTCGGCAATGTTAAACATCACTGGCAGGCCCGTCCCCTCTCTGCAGAAGCGTTTCGCTCGATATTCAAACCCGACCATGCGAAACAAACCCACCAAAATGAGGTGGACGCTGCGAGAGAGGTCGCCAAGGTGTGTTGCGCTGTGTTCTCTGCCATGTCTACGAGCGAACGTTTTGATCTCGAGCCAAACAAACATTGACACTTGGTAGATTGAGGATATCCTGCACCGTTTGGATCAATTACATATTATGAACATCACCGAGGAGCATGTCCGAGACATCTTGGGGACCAAATTCGTCGGTGGAGACCTGGAACGCGCTGTCCAATTCATCGATATTGAGAAAAAGTCTTCTTCTGGGATTATAATTCCCTACGACCCAAGTGTCCAGATGGTTGGTGCCGAGAACCGCAGTGCTGTTACCTGTTATATAGACTCCCTTCTCTTCGCCATGTTCTCCAAGTTGGACGCCTTCGAGTGCATGCTCAAAACCGATTTCCCAGAGGACGATCCTAGGCATAGACTCGTCATCCTTCTGCGCATATGGGTCAACATGTTACGGACGGGCAAGCTGATTCGTACAGACTTGGTGAGGAGCGACAAACTTCAATCTGGGGAGTACGCAGTTTACTAACATGTCTAGACCAAACTAATACAAGATTCCATGGCTGAGTGTGGTTGGCCAGAAGCTCGCCTTTTAGAACAGCAAGACGCTTCCGAAGCATTTGCATTTTTTACAGAAAAGCTAGAGTTACCACTCCTTTCACTACAAGTTGATTTATTTCACCAAGGCAAATTCGACAAGGACGACCACAAGATCGTTTATGAGAGATTATTGAACTTGGCAGTGCCATCAGATTCCGATGGCAACGGCATTAAGTTAGAAGATTGCTTAGAAGAGTATTTCAATACCCAAGTCGACGTCCTTAGAGACAGCGAGGAAGCAAAGAAGTTGTCGATTGCGGAGGACGGCACTCTAAATTCGCCTTCTCAGCTATTGATACCCAACCAAATCCAGCTGATTAGGGATGGAGAAAGCACCGCGGCACCTGCAGCCATGACATTATCCCCAGTCGAGATGTCGCCGTCGAAGCCACTGCCAGATGTTCCTCTGAAAACGAACAAGGAAGAGAAAGCCAAAGAAGAAACTCCAGAAGAAGGGGATAAAGAGATGACAGCCGGTGAGAAGGTTGACGAGAAAAAGGCCGAAGAGAAGAAGCTTGACGAGGAAGAAGTAGAGGACAAGGTTGAAGAGAAAAAGGATGAAGTGGAAGCTCCGTCATCGGATCAGGTCAATGGAACGAGCCAGAATAGCACTCTTGGCGAAACATCGCAGTCAACTGTTGTGGCTGATCAATCAGGGGCATCTTCTTCTCGGATGACGATTCGGCATAGGTCAACCAGCGTCATTCAACGAGTCATGCTGGATGACAGAGGCCGCCCAGCCAGTTCTGAGAACATACGCAAGAGGCTGAGTTTGAAAGGGTCTACCGTCATCAAGGCGGTCACAATACCTGCATGGCAATTCTTCCGCCTAATTCGTATGTACGATCTCTGCTAGTCATTCTCTCCCTTACTAACATCCCACGCAGCCTGGCACGCAGTCAACAACAGCACCGAGCCTCGGAACAATGTCGAAGTAGCAATGAATCTTGATCAGCGCCCAGTCGTAGGCATTTGCTTGAAACGATATGCCATGACCGAGACTGGCCTACCTAAGCGCCATAATACTTATATCGACATCCCCGAGAGCATGAGACTTCCTCACTTTATGCTCGCCGACGGCCCACACATAGAAGAGGAGACTAATGGGTTAGCGACAGAGTATAAACTTGTCCTGCAATCGATTGTCTGCCACCGAGGCGATTCTTTACAAAGCGGTCACTACATTTCGTTTGCCAGGGTCGCCCCGAAGCTTCTAACAGACAATAGGAGGCATGATTTTGATCCACCTCCAGACTACGAAGAAGCACAGTGGGTGAGGTTTGACGACCTCGATATCGGCAGACGAGTCACGTTTGTCGACGACATCAAAGAATCCCTAAAGGTCGAGATGCCGTACCTGCTTTTCTATCAGATTGTACCTATGGTCGACGCACCTTGCCCAACAGAAAGCACAGAGGGCAGGCCGCCGTCTTATGACGAGTCAAAGAAAAGTCTTGAGATACTGCGCTCCACAACTAGCGATGAAACACCCTCCAGTTCGACTCATGGACTGGTAACGCATCACGAACATCAAGCATCAGCCTCTACCCAAGCCCTGATAGCGCATCCACACCATGAGCAGCAAGCTTCAGCTTCTACTCAAGCATTGGTATCGCACCACGAGCACAAAGCCTCATCTTCTACTCAAGCATTGGCAACTCACCATGAAAATCAAGCTTCAGCTTCGACTGGTCGTCTAGGTCAAAGCAAAACACCCAGCATCAGGCTATCTGCAGAAGTTGAGCGCCCATCTCGCAAGTGGCTGGAGGGCATTAGCATGAACTTTGGTGGTTCATACGTGGAGTCGGTCATCTCCCGTCGCCAGAGCGTGGCGCTTACCGATTCTGCTGTTCACACACCATCCATAACTCCGGATGCTGGGTCGCCTGCCATGGCACCGGTTGACGAACCAACGTCTTCAAGATTATCGCGTGCCGCATCGCGCTTCAACTTGGGCAAACAGAGTCGTCCTGCTAGCCAATCGGGCGAGGGCCGCATCAGTCTCAACCTGAGTCGCTTTGGTGGTTTGATTAAGACCAGCAAAGAGCCGCTGCCGGAACCACCAGTACTGAATATTTCGACTGCAAACTCAACAGGGCAGCCTAGTCCACAGCCTGGGTCGCCCACATCACTCGAGAAGCAGCTGCACCATCCCCCTGGCAGTGAGAAACAGGACAAGCCTGAAAAGACAGAAAAAGCTGAGAAGCAAAAACACAGGAGAAAGAAGTCCAAAGAAAAGAACGAGAAACAGAAGACGGGCGATCAACCAGAGCGGGAGTGTGTAGTGATGTGATGCGCTCTGGGGGTTTAGATGCATTTATTGTTTACAATGAGGCATAACAACAGCATTATAGGTTTGGAGCATATAGCAGGACGACGTGCACTTTTCCTTGACTTGGATACTTTTTTTTTTTTTTTTTCAAAAGCCGTCATGATCATTGCGCTTCAGTGAAAGAATCATGACATTCACATTACTTTGGCATACATGTAACGAGGACTTGTATGGTTGGTTGACAATCATCAAGGGGGTGGAAACAAAAAGAGAAAACCAAAAAAGGCAACTTTATATACAGAGATACCATGGCGTTGGTGGATGGGAATTTTGTTTGTTGTTTGGCAGACGGACAGTAATCAAAAGAATTGGTTACAATCAGACTTCAATCTTTTATATCAGTATGAGCTCTCTAAGCTCCCATTCCACAGTATCTTCGTCAATGCGTTACATTCAAGCTCGTCATTTCCTCTATCTCTCTTGTACATTTCAGCATGAAAAGCAAAGCACTTAAAAGAAGACTGGGCCTTTTGACCAAATATGCCATACTAACTCCAGCCCTCCCCCTTTCCCCCTCCCTCCGTTTTTTTGGTTTCCCCTGCAACTGTAGCCCATTCCATCCCATACATAAAATTGACGACATCCCAAATGCTTTCAACATGCCGCCCATTTTTCGCCCGAGCCCAATACACGAATGCACCGGCCTTTGGAAAAAAAAAAGTTAATATACACGGGGGGGCAAATATGCAAAAGAAATGCAATGTAAGCTGAGATAGATGCATTTTTTGAGAGCATAGCGCCCCCCTCAAAAAAGACTTGAGAGAGCCACCGTCATGAGTCACATTAACCCTCCCTCTCTCCTCCTCCCATCTTCCCTCGCTCCCTCTCCTCGTGTGCTTTCCTTCCCCATTGTGGAAGCCATGGCCTAACCCTACCATGAGAAAGGGCTTCATATAGTCTATCGAAAAGGGAGGAGTTTTTCTTTTTTTTGTTTCCCCGCTGCTTTCCTTTACTTCGAGTAACAGCTGTGAGAGTTTGTTTTTTGTTTTCTTTTTTTTGTTTTCTTTTCTTCTTTTTCTCCTTAATAATCAGACAAGTTATGAGTGAGGCGGCATAAACAGTTGAATTACTCGTCCCACTCGTCCTTGGTTGGCCAGCAGTCCTACTACATTAGTTGTCTATTAACCAAGATCCGATCATGGAATCTGCGCTGTGCTAGGATTGTCCAGTCGTGGCCATTTAGAATGGGATGTTGGGGGGAGACTGGGCGCCCAGGGCCTCCTGCTGATCTTGGAGCTCCTCGGGGGCAGCCTCAATTGAAACACCGAGGCCGAGCTTGGCTTGTTGCTAATCAAACAGTTAGTCATGGAATGGAGATTTTGTCTCTCGAGATTAGGGAATCACATACCGTAAAGTGGTCAATGTCGGCAGCAAAGGTCATCATGACGGGAGGAGCGACACGCTTCTCCAAAAGGCAGCTCAGCTTGCCCTTGGAGTCGACCTGGGCTCGGAAAGTGGACATGCGGAAATCGTACTTGGCACCAATGGTAGTGACACCCTCCTTCTGCAGGCCGCCGCCCATCAGACCACCAGGAGAGGGGACGAGGCCGAGGCTCAGGTCAACACCAGCTTGAACCTTGTCGGACAGCTTGCGCCAGTACGAAGCGTTGAGAGTTCCCATAGCAGCCTGCAATTGAGCGGTGGCGACCCAGTCGGGGGTCTTGTATCGGGCGCAGTAGGAGACGGCACATTCGGGACCTTGAGTCAGAGCAGGGCGTTGCCAGAGGGTTTCCAGACCGAGAGCGAGCTTAGGGGTGATGGATTGCAGGTAGCTTCCGATGTAGATGCCAGTCGCTCCACCCTCGAGGAAAGAGGGGTTGAGCATCTTGAGAGAGGCACTGAAGTCATCGCCGGTGTATTCGTGTTCGAACTGGGCCATGTCCTGGCCGCCAGGGGAGATGGAGAGTTGAGATTTGGAAACCAGCTTGTCGGTCCATCGGTAGTTGAAACGGCCGGAGAGGGAGCCTTCGTTGTCCACGTTGCCTTGGCAGAAGATCTAATCGAGCTCCGAGTTAGTTCCGTGCGCGGGCTTCGGCCACAAAATGCGACGCTGCTTACCTTGCCGGTGCCGAACATGGCGGCAAAAGTGTACGGGTTGATGCGCTCACCCATTGCGAACTGGTGAGAGACCTGGAACAGCGGCGCCATGCTGAAGATCTTTGTGAGGTCGGCGCGGATGCCGGTGAACATGTAGTTGTTGAGGAAGACATCGCGCTGGACTTCCTTGGACAGGGACTCTATTGTGCCGGGATTGGACAGGCCGAGCTTCGCCCTCCGCTCGGAAAAGTAGTTGACGGCATCCCCTATTGTGGCGGCGACGGGGTTGGAGAATATGAGGGACCGCAATGTGTCGACGGGAGTGGCCATGATGCCGGTATCTGTGGCGGCTCTTGAGCCGAGCCGATGAAAAAACGGTACAAAGAAGAGGGACCGGAGATGGAGCAGAAGAGACCGGGTCGCTTCGCTGGTCAGGGTTCAGAGAATAAGAATCTCAGTCTGGATGGAAGGAGATCCAGAGCCTCAGGCAAGCCTCGGTCGCGGATGTTGGCTTTGCCGCAGTGGTCGAGCTCCGAAGGCGGCTATAATGGGATGGAGTCGTTGAGAATAATTTTCAATCGACCCAGTTTGCCAGCACGAGTACGTCCAGTAGCCTGCGGGAGCTGCACGAGCCACTTTGTGACGCAGCCGAGTTGAGCCTTTGCCTTTGCAGCCGCTTTTTTTGGTGGGCGGACGCTGCGATAATCCGGCCCCGGTGGCTGTGGGCACGTGGCTGCTGGAGGCTTTGTGCAGGTGTTATCTCACAGGTACTTTTCGTGGTTGTCGTTTGTAGACATTGGGGTGTACCTTGATACGCAAAGGCACTTACACAGCGTCATGTACATATACCTAGCATCGGAGTCACTTTTCATCAAAGATAAAATAAACATAGTAAATATATACTAATACACAGAGCTATGGCCATTCTGTTCACAAGCAGCATCTATCTGCCTTGGCATGCTACAATTGAGGGATGGTGGGGTAATAGCTCAGTGTGCTTCAGCAGGGCAGAGCCTGAATGTGGTTGTGTGTCGCGAGGTACCTGGGTCACGTACCGAGATACCTGGCTGGGCTGTTCCGAACTTGTACCTCCCGTAAGTGCCCGTAGCGCCCCCTTGCATGCATGAACGGCCTCTTCATTTTGCATCCGTCAAAGCAGTACCCTAGAACCGAATATATCCGCCTGTGCGGCTCCCGAAAGCATCAAAAGCGGCTGCTGCCCTTGTGACAGATTTCAACAGGCTTCATCGTTGCCCGGACATACACCAGCCGGATCTGTTCGACTGGAGCCGAGATTCTCTAGCATTTACAGGCATCTTCTCGCCTGAAATCCCGGTGGTGTCATCATTCCTGGAAAGCGGGGCGCGAGGCTGAGATAGGTCGGATCTCATCTCGCATATCTCACCGCATCAAAGGTCGCCTGAGATCTCTCAATTTTCAACAGACGCGCTGCTTGTATCGTCGCTTCTCAGTGAACTCGATTTTTTTGCGAATTTCATTGTACCATATATCTCGCGTATTGAGAGAACAGTTTGCATTGTTTATTGGGCATCGATATTTTCGAGCTTCCGAGCTACCTAACAAAGCTTCGGTGGAATCATTCAATTATCCGCTTGTTGATTTGAACCAGCAAAATGGATACCTTGCTGTAAGTGAATCATGTGCGCTGCTTCTCATATGGGGAATAAACCGGAGCTTGGAAGCTATCGTGGTGATGCCGTCCAAAGCGTCACACTGACGGCCCGTCCGCTTCTCCTATTCAGCCCCTGCCCCTGATCCAACCAAACCCTGACCACATGATATTTATCCGCTACATGTGACTTTGAGCACTGGGCGATTTCCCATCACTATCTGTTTACATCTGCATACAAAAATTGGGAATTGAACAAGGATGGAATTGGGACTGACAGAAATGGACTCCAGGACCGCTGAGATCGCGGCAAACGCTCCCCGGTACCGCCGGAGGAGTTCAACCTTCATCGACAGTATCCACGATGTGTCGGAGGATACTGATATGGCGCCGGCTCAGCTTTACAGTACCATGTCTGGGCGGCTGTTTCACTCTGGTCGTATTGCCATTGTCATGGTTGGGCCGCCTGCTCGAGGCAAGACGTAAGTCAAACAAGAGTAAGATTGCTGAGATCCAAGTCAAAGATTAACAAAAGTTAGACACATTTGCGTATCTATGGCACGCTATCTTCAATGGCTTGGTGTCAAGACTCGTATTTTCCACTTGGGCGACTACCGCCGAGCGACCATTGGTCCTGACGGCTCGCTTCCCGATGATTACTTCTTCCCTGATGCTTCCCCCTCATCCGTCATACTCCGCCAAAAGATTCTCAAGAAATGCCGCGAGGATATCTATGCCTGGCTGAATCATGAAAACGGCCAGGTTGCTATATACGATGCGGTCAACCCAACGGCGAGTGGAAGACGCTCTTTGGCCAAGGAGTTTGCAAAGCACGACGTCCAGGTAAGGAATCTAGCAAACCGTGCTCAGTTTGCTTTTCTCTCCCTTGTGTTTCATACTAACACCAACTCTCACATAGACTCTATATATCGAATCATTTGTGGATGACGACCAGATTTTGCATGACAACGCCATCAACGTCAAGATTTCCTCGCCCGATGTAAGCCTTTCAAGCCACACAGAATCATTGTTGCATCTCTCTCTCTTTACAAACATTAACCATGACTATAGTTTGCTGGAATGGATCCCGAGGAAGCAGCAAAAATGTACTTGAAAAGAATAGAGATGAGGATCCCAGTATTCGAGACCATGAACGAGATGGAACTCAACTATATCAAGATGATCAATGCTGGAGAAAAGTTCTTCTACAACAACCTTAGCTTCAACTACTTATCTCACAGAATCGTTTTCTACCTGACCAACCTTCACATCAAATCACGAACTACCTTCTTTGCCCGTGCGGGTACAACAACAGAGGAAGACTCGTACAAGGCAGACGCAGACCTTTCAGAACAGGGCAGGTACTACGCTCAACGGATGTCCGAGACGCTTATGAAACATCGCGAACAAGAAAGGCTGGAGCAAATCGCAAAGGGCAAGCCCGAGACGCCCCTCCGGCCACTTTCAATCTGGACGTCTACTCGTCTTCGCACCATTCAGACTGCTGATTACCTCAAAGAAAAAGGATACAAAGTTCGGCAACGTTCTCAGATGAGCCAGATCAACCCCGGCGTCTGCGAGAAGATGTCAGAGCGCGTGATTAGGCAGATATACCCCGAAGAGGTCGAAAAGCATGCGCTCGACCCGTATCATCACCGATATCCCCGTGCCGAGGCAAGTTCAATTTTTTTTTTGAATCTCGTTGTGGCGAAAGTTGAATGCTAACCCTTTATTTCCCCCTATGCAGTCTTACCACGACCTTGCTGTTCGACTTGAGCCCATTATTTTGGAACTGGAGCGAGAGCAGAGTGACTTGCTAATTATCGCACACGAATCTGTTCTTCGCGTGCTATTCGCCTATCTCATGCACTGCTCTACTATGGATATCCCTAATCTCAAGTTCCCCCGCGACGAGATTATTGAGATTATTCCTGCTGCCTATCAGAATGAAGCCAAACGTATTCACATTCCTGGTTTGGATCCTAAGCTGCTCCCAGGCTCTCCCGATGATATTAGGATACCCGGTAGCCGACCCTTAAGCAGACCTGAGAGCGGCCAGATGAGCCCAATTCCCGGCGGGTTGGGCAGCCCAGCTGAGCCACTAGAGAGGCCGACGGAAAAGGTGGTCAATACGGCGAAAGACATGGTGGCGGACAAGATTCACGATGAGATTTAAGTACAAGTACGAAGTAGTGGCCACCAAAACTTACATTGAGAATTTAACCGCTTGCCAAAGGAGAAGAAGATGGTGACGAAGACTGACAGTGTATGCGGATGCTGCATCATCCATCATGCCCTGTTTCTTTGGTAAATTAACGCTTTTGGCGGCAATCTGGCAGCGCACTCCAGGTACGATGATGGAAGAGGAGCGTGGCCAAGACTTTGATGCATCCTATATCATCCGATGCTCCCGCTCCTTCGGATAGACGAACTGCACGTAATTTGGGTTCTGCTGGGTGACACTCCCGGCTTGCCGCATTTCAAGGGGGCCAAGAGCCTAGTATGATGCGGAAAAGGGGAACATTGCTGACGCTCCCGCATGACTTGGAGGCGCGCTTGTGTTGATTCGGCACACCCTCTCAGCCCGTTCACTGAAAGCTGCCGCGTCTTTTTTTTTTTTTTTCTCTTCCGCCAAGACACAGGCTGCCCATTGGGGGCCCAGACAACGCAGCTGGCCGGGCGCGCTCTTGTTTCGCTTTGTTTCTGTCTAATGTCTCCCTGCATATGCGAGTTTCAGCTTGGGCGAGTCCTCTTGAGGCTTTCAAGGGTTGCATGTGAAAGTGTGGAAAGATTGTCAAGCGGGAAGATGGTTAGCGGTTGCGAAGACGTGTGTTACGCACAAGATATGTCCCTCTTCCCACCCCTGTCAGATAGTCTTGAGCAGTTTATGTGCTGACTAGATGCTACTAAATTCCAACAATATTAATCAAACGACTTTCAAAGTTCCAATAGACGGGTTTTGTGTCCGGCTCCCCGGTGAGATTGCACCTGTATTACCAGATAGACTAGATGAGACGGGTGGCTTGAATTCCCAGACTACTAAGCTATCCAGTAGCTCTGGGGAATTTGGAATCGAGAAGCATGAAAAGGGGGGGAGATGAGCTTATTGTTGCAGGTGTGGCAACTGCTTGCAATCTAGATGGGTGAGTGTACAGACGGATGCGACATCCGAGATTTGGAGTGTGCAAGATGAAGACATACTCGTACGAGTACTTGATGCTGGGCTTCAAGTGAGTTGACCTTATCAAAGGTCTGTGCTGTGATGTCTGAGACATGCAGTTCTCTATCTGTTGTTCGAGCATTATGTGAATGGTTTACAAATGACAATTACAACGTGTGTTTTACCATGCTATGTACTCGGCAGAGCTTTGAATCAAGATCAGGGTTGAAACCACAACTATGTATGAGTTGGCAGGTAGCTTCGTGAGCAAGTGTAAAGAAGATAGGGTGTAAATTTAGAGTGTGTCACTCCAATAGATCTTCTATGCCTAGGAAATCAAAGTAATCTATATAGACAAATTAGCTGCTGTGCAATGCCTTTACTTCCAACCCAACCTCTTCCCTAATCAGGCACAACCTCTCCAACCCATCCAAGCGGAGGACAGAAAAGCCGGGACTGAGAAGATTACGAGCATCTATACGTTAAATTATACACCTATTCTTAAAGTATCTGCTATTATCTATATTTCTTTAGCAACTGCTATTATATCTATATTTTTCTAATAGCTGCTATTATATTTATATTTCTTTAGTAACTGCTACTATATATATATATATATTTATAACTGCTACTATATTTATTTAATACAGTTCTAACGCTGGTTAAATAGGTGTTCTACGAGTTAGTTAGGTGTTTATATTACTGAATGTATGCACTTATTCATCTCGCAGTCTCGCTTTTTCTGGTCTCCGCTTGCCATCACATCACATCTACAGTGTCGTACTTTGAAGTCGTCTATCTGCAAAGAAGATGCCTAGGTACTTTGTAATACTTGTAGCTGACAAAGCTGGAATACATGTACATGAATAACCCCCTCCCAATCTCCATTTCTTCCACGACTGACTCGTATATCAGCATAATAAGTGACAGCCTTCTGTTTATGCAGGAAAAGAGGGTGTTCCACCAGTAACCCGTCCCCTCAAGGCAAGCAAACGAGTCAAGCTCACAATACAGCCGCCACAAAGGCCTGCAGCTAAGCATACAGGCAAATAATCATGAGAAAACGCCTGTGCTCGGCTGACTACATCAAATACCAATCAATTAGCTGTACCTGTGGTGTCTCTCTCGCTCCCTGCAGCTGCAAAAGCCCCGTCTGACCTGGCTGGAATAAGCAAGGGTTGGGTTTTGGTCTTGTGAGTACGAGCATCAAGTCATCCCCATCCATCCAATGAGGACTGCAGCTCTGCCTTGATTTGTCCAATCTTTGTTTACTTTTTGGGGGTCTGTTATGGGGACTTTTATTGCATCCTTCTCATATGTGGCCCGGCCCGGCAAGCGAGGCGGCCATTCGGATTCGAGTCCCGTACGTCTTTAGTCTGGTCTGTGAGTAAACGCGGCTGGTCGTACTCGTACGAGTACTTGGATGGTTTCTTTTTTGTACTTATTTCTCTTGCAGCTTATCTGCGTGTTACCTATGGACGTGTAGTACAAAGAGGTTATGACTACACGCACGGAGCCATATGGATTATGCAGTTGTTGACTAAATAACACCTTACATGTAGTCATGAGATGTCAGGTTGTTCTCCATAGAGTGTAGTACTGGATCTGTCCGTCTCAAGAGAAGTGATGATGACGACAAACGCAATTCGTACAGTACCAAAGGATAAAAAGAAAAAGAAAAAACAAACAAGTCACTTGACTGGCAACGACAAGGGGAACAAAAAGCAGACCTCTACTGCACCACATTGGGACGCTGTCCCGGACGTGCATCTCCTAGAGAGCATTCGCTCGACAGGGGGCCTGTTCATGGTCTCGTGGCCTCTGTGTGGGGCCGCTGGAAAGACATCAAATATGAAGAACAAAGTCCATCGTGTTCTGGAATCGAGCAGTGAAAAGCGAGACCCATCAAGGCGTGGCCGAAGTTGATCAAGGTGATTCACATTGAGGATTCGATGATATACGAGCAGTTGCTGTATTTGTTGGTACTGCCTAGTACGGCCAGGTGCTGCTATGGTGCAATAAAGGGAGGTTCAGATTCAGGGTCCGCCAGGTTTAATCTACAGGGTATTATTGAAGTACTGTAGGCCGAAATATCTCCCAAGCGGGGCGTTTATGAGAATGCAGACAGTGCGTCGCTTTTCCTTGCTTCCCTCTCCAATTTCATGAGCAGCATTGTATACATTAATATACATACCTGGTAAGGGGTGATGGTTAAGCTGTTATCACCAATTCCTTATCATGTACTTTGGCAAAGATGGTTGGAGATGTATTTAATATTAAGCTGACGCAGTGGTTTTATTTCTAGCACTGCTGGTCTTCTAGGTTAGGGTCCTCGAACTCATGATGCAACTGTAATAGGGTTCCCGATAAAAAGAAACGCCACGCGGCGTGATCAAAAGCCAACCACGTTATGAAAAGTTCACTCATAACTCATAGAGCTATATATATATATATATATATATATGAATAATAAGGTTCAATGAATACTCAATGGTTGATGCTACGGAGCATGTTCAGTCATGGCTCGACTATAGTTCCGGCCTTGGTGATAAGATTTAATGGCTGAAACATCATATATAAAAGACCGGCAATAGATCCCTAGTATGCAACGTGTCAAGGAATCTTTCCATTCTTTGTCAACTATCGAAAAACATTCGCAATCTTCGCAATCAAAGAGCCCGTGTGGCGGGTTGCACAATAGATACCCTGCCGCATCATCGACAACTTCGCGCATCATCTACACGAGGTAGATATCGGAAAGTCCATCGGAGCGATCCTTTGAATAGGACAATTTCCCATATTCTCATATAAACCACTGTCGTAGGCGCCTTACCAGGTCAGTGCCACTACGAAGGTGTCACTGGAACGGGATGTCGTCCGTCAACAGACCGCTCTACGAGCGCATTGATGATGCAATCTCCTTATGTTTTCTTGCCGCTGTGGTATTGTTATACTTCCTGAAAGTATCGGATGTTCGACTGTACTTTGAACACACCCAACTTCTTATGTGGATCTGGGCCGCAATACCTGGCGTAGTCGCTTCTCACTATTTGATCCTTGCCGCTAGTTGCATCCTCGAGCCTTACTCTCAACGTGCTCGAAACTTTCGAACAAGGACGGCCATCATGACGGGCTACTCTGGGAACTACCGCACAGAGGTCACACGTGATCTGCGAACGTGGGCTGCTAAGAGCCTGAACGACATCAGGAACCACCACTCAGCGCTCATTCAATATGTAGGGGCTGTGATCGGACGTTACGATCCAACCTTTGATGTTGCACGAGAACTTTTCTGGACATTCTATTTGTTGGTATTTAGCTGGTGGATGATTAAGTTTCTGGTCTTGTTGCCGCGTAAATTATTCGCAGACGCAATAGAATGCCTTAAAAGACTGGTCGACCGACGAGTCAATAGCTGAGTCGTCGGGATCGAGACAGCGGCTTGATGAATCATTGCTACTATGAAGGGGGCAAAAGAAGTGGTTTTGGGTATTATTATTGATTGGGAGGAACATCGCATGCAATGCATCAGCGAAGGGCGGTATATTCCAGACGGTCTTAGAAAGGTCGGATATCCTTAAACAAGTGAAGAAATGTAAAGAGGCCCCTGCTATAATGGGTTCTCGAAGCCCCAAATAGCTAGCCAATATCAACAAACATACTGCCTCTTATTCAGTTGCAAATATGTAAAGGTTATGGTGAATAAGGGCCGTATACCTTGGACGTATCTTTCATAAAAGAGGAACGGTAAGACATGTCCACATCATAGCAGATCTCTTTATAATGTTGCCCTGAATCTTCGTTTTTGGTTTCGAGAGGCACTTGGATGGGTAGATAGCGTCCACAGTGTTTTAAAAATATGCACTGGCTGGGTCTATGTACCACCTGTGTCCTATTCAGGAAATATTTCCAGACGCGTACTCGTACGGATAGTAATGGGCAACCGTTGAACCTGGACTCGATAGCAAGCCAGCTCTACGAGATGTATGCTGAGTATCTAACCCTGCATAGACTGCCCGATGCTGTAGAGCAAAGTACAAAGGACTTGATCAACTCAGAGCCTCGATACCAGTGGCATAAGTTCATCCAAGACAAAGATGAACGCAAGAGTTCGAGGTATCAGGGTCCGGGAGTGTGTGCGGCAGCAGCAACAGCAACAATGTGAGAGAACATGACAGGAAGCTTTCAATGGTAGGCACATGCATATGCGGACATGGACCAGCCGGTGCTACATCCGTCGAGCCCATTTTACAAACTTGGGGCGAACAGGACAGGGCGCCACGTTGCAGCTCAGCCAATTGACAATGATCATTGGCTGAGCCTGTTAGGGGAGGCCATTGGGTAGCCTGATTGAGAAGATGCAAATGCAAATGGCCGGGTCATGCTCTCATGCTCATGACAAAGCTCATTACAGAGAGAGATACCGGGCGACTCCACAGACATACATTCGTACTCCTGTCTCGTCATGCGCGGCGATGGATATCATGGCCATGGGAGAGGCAAAACGTCAGGGACCTCTAGCGTTGCATGATTCCGGTCATGAGACCCTTTTGACGAAAGAAGAACGAAGGGGACAAGAGAGCAGAGGTCAATGTAGCCGCCCTTGGCTCAGACAATTTTCCTTTGCCTTTTGACGTTGGAAACTTCAAGAGCACAGAGCACAGCAGGTATTGTCGCCGAGAGCTGACAAAAGGTGCTGTCGCCAGTCTGAGAGATAACCAATCCAGTAATTTGATGGCCCTTGAGACATTCAACGGAGTTTAACTCGTCCACTCGGACGCACCAGATGGTCGGACTAGCGCTGCTTAGTTTTCGCCGGCCGTGTGTCTCGCCCAGATGACTTCCAGCATGACGTTGAGCCCCAATGTGACCAGGACGAAAGAGACCTAAGACGGAACAGGGGGGGCCTCAAGTTGGCGTTCGCGCTATGCTACGTGGGCCCTTTTTCGCCGCATCAGCACATGCAGAGAGACGACGCCGACCTTGTTGCGCTTTTCCGCAGGCCTGTCATGGCAATTGGTCGTCGACGTACGCAAGGGGGGGATCTCGGGAGGCGCCATTTAATCTCTCAGGGCTCGCATCTCCGACCGCACACTGTGAAACTCCAGCTGCTTTCGAGAAACGGACGAGGCGAGTATGAGAAAAAAAGCTCGAGCCCACTGAAAACCCCGTAGAGGGCTGGAGCGAATGAAGAAGCCCCGTCGCCAAAACAGTTGAGACTGGACGAAAGAAAAAAAGATGGAGAAGAGCTTCCGGATAGCGAATCCCAAGCCTCTCCATAGTTGGATCTGGTTATTGTCCTCTAGTGGTGCCGGCAGCAAGCCGTTGGAGACAAAAATCACGGATCGACCTCCCAAATGGCAGGACTTGGGAAGGGGGAGGGGCCAGGAGGGGCCGGATGCTGCAACTGGTGAGGGGAATGGGAATGGCTAGCAAGCAGGCTGGGCTAGCAAAGCACTCAAAAACAAAAACCTCCACAGTGGCCAGAGACCAGAAGACCGGAGACCCGAAAAGATGCTTTTTCTCTCATGGCAATTCGGACGAGCTTGTTCGCTGCTCCACCGCGGCCGAGGCCTGGCGAATGGGTGGCGGCCGGTTTCCAAGAATCAAGTGCAGCTTTGCTTGCTTTGTATGTGCTGTGCTTTCGGACATAGAGTATAGAGGCCCGGGAGCCTTGTCTCGCTATTTTTTGAAGCTGAATGCCGGGATGCTCGCTGCCGGGATAATCCCAAGAATGACGACGCCCTGCTGCCGCTAAAAAAAGCGCGAGCATCGTCCAACAAGGCTCTGGAAATGGCAGAAACCTGCATCAGATATGGTGACAGACATATGACGGCGGGCACATCTCGACGTCTCGGCTACCACCCGAACAACACGAACAGCAGGTTGGCCATTGTTAACAGCGTCTGGCGTATACTCGTAATTGCAAGTTCCATGCAGACACCAGCCTTTTGCTGTTTCTCACAGCGACACTGCCAGCTTCGGCCGGGGTCATTTATGATGACGGCCATCAACCGTGCAAAAATAACAATCAAACAGACTTCCCAGCATCCCGCCACGGCGCGTTCCTTTCGGCCCCTTGCTGAAACTTGGCGTTGCGTTTGGTATTGGCGTGGTAGGAAAGCAAAGACGAGAGGGAAAAAAAGACCAGTCACATCCTTGCTTGTGCAGGCACCTGGTGCGCGATGCTACATTTCTATATGTGGTAGCAGTAGCGCATGCACCTAGAATAGCGTGTAAGATGTTGGTGTTGCCACAGCATATCTGCTTGACTACTGTACGAGTACAAGAACGGCGTACCTGCAAGCATCCGGATCTCTGCCTGCGAGAAGCCTGGAGGGAGGCAAGGCTGCTGCTTGTCTTGATCTGGGCTGACCACCTGGCTAGTCCTTCCTTGCACTTGTACGAGTACGAGCCTGTAGGATCCTGAATTGAACGGGCATGTCTTGTTTCAGGGACCTGATCCAAGGGCCGCCATGCTTGGCTGTGGCAAGCTCCAGCACGAAAGGAGGGTGTGCCTGCGGCTTACTTTGTACCAGTCTCAAGGTGCTTTCCGTGCCGTGTGAGGTCATCGTCCACGGTTCCTATTTTGGGTGGACGATACTAAATCGTCGATTCCCGCAGGGGCAACGCTCGAAAGACGAAGAAGCACGACAAGGCGGTAAAGGGCCGGAGAAAAAGACTTGAAATGGCCATGAGCAATTGAGCCGTTTGACAGCATATTAACCGGTAGATGAGGGATTCAGAGACACTGCCACATCTGGCGTGACCTGGATGATATCACGAGCAACATGATTGGAAGCATCATACAACCCTGGGGCATACAAGTATTGTGAGAATCCTGACGCATGCACTATACATGCAAGCCGGATGCAGGTTTGAGCGAAATATATATATCAAATTCTTTGCCCGTGCATTCGGCCGCAGATCGCAGAGATAGATGCTGGGCAATGCTGGCCCATGGCTGCGCAAATCTCGCCGCTGGCCGAAGCTAGTCGGGAAGCAGGGCACTCAAGGTTTTGGGCTCTCCCGGTTTGAACACAACACACCTACGAGTCAAAGTATAGGTGTCATGCTGAGTCGAGTCGAGTCGAGTCGAGTCGACGAGCGCGTCTCAGGTCATCATCAGCTGGAAGAAACGAGGCAGACAGACGTGGCGTTTGCTGTGCGGATTTGTCAAGTACAAGCAATAAAAATCGAGGCGAGAAAAGGGGGGTGTGTGGTGGCGGCAGCAGCAGGTCAAGTGGTGAGGGGTGCGTTCCGTCATTCACAGCAATTGACTCTGCAAGAACCCGCCGGGCTGTTCGTCAGTGGTTTTGGTTTTGGCCCGCAAAGGGACAAGACGATGAAGTGATGTGATGCAGCTGGAGAGATCAAATCCAATGGAAATTGAATGCAATTTCTTCCACTGTCAAGTGACCTCTGCTTGCTGGTAAAGAGGGTAAGCGATTTGTGGGAAGCCCTTTCTGCAACGCCCAAGCAAAAGAAAAAATTGCGGTAGCTCAGCAGCAAGCACATCAGGCCACAGGCTTGTTGCCACCTTATTGCTAGGTAGAACGTGACGCCTGAGGACGCCTGAGCCATACCCGCATTTGGCCACATACGGCCATAGCCTTTGGCGTTTCAACGGCTGGTGTACGGAGTATTACTTGGTAGGTACCTGACTATGAGCAGACGAAGCACGAGTTCAGTATAGCTCAAGCAGGGAGTAAGAGAGCCTCGAAGGAGAAAAAAAGGGGGAATCGAGACCAATGGATGGAAGCGTTGATCTATTAATACCACGTACATGGTGCCTGAGCATCGCCGCGTGAGCTGCCTGTTGTCAGTGCGGTTTGGTTTGGTTTGGCCTGACGCTCAGATGGGCAGGGCAGCTTATGCTTAGCAGCTCGGCTCTCGTTGTCCAAATCTAGTTCCAGGGCGTCCAAATTGCTGTGGCTCTGATCTGGCCCAGGCGACTTACAAATGCCTCGACGAGATACTAGTGGCCACTAGGAGAGCTCAGGCTTGCATGGTTCTCTGCACGGCCAGTCTTTGACTTCCGCTTGCCGAGTTTTAGCGCCAGGTGCCCGTCTCAAAAATGAGCACATGAGCACCTCGAGCCTAACAACTGCGGGTCTGCTGGATCTCTAGCAAGTTGCGTAGCACTACCTCCAATACTAAAGTTGTGGTAGGTACAGTACCTACAGTACTGCTCAGCAGCGGCGAGTTTTTTTCTTTTCTTCTTCTTCCTCTCTTCTTTCTGTAATTGAATTGGGGTAGAATGGCAAGAAAAACCGGTAGAAAATATAGAGATACAAAGGAAGAGATACAGGAAGAAGGCAGTTATATAAGATGGAGACAAGGATCGCCGGCATTGGTGGCTGGATTCACGGATCAATTGATTGAATCATCCTCAGCAGGTACCTCTTACCTCAGTACCTTAACAGTACCTGGTCGCTGCTCCCACGATAAGCGCGTCTCCTACCGCCCTGTATCCCATCAAATTTCTCTGTATGGAGTGCAGTATCTCCGTACGAGGTCACCCGCCATCGCGCTGCTCTAGTGGGCTTAGGCTCCCCTCCCGCAACAGCTACTCGACAGGTACCGGTACATGCTCGCAGATTACCTCACCTGTGCTGTAATGCCATGCCATGCCACTCTCTGCAAGCTCGCACCATCTTTCATCGTTTGCCGGCCCATCGACCCATTGACCACGAACGAAGAAAAACAAAACTGTGAATGTCCTCTGCCTTGCGTGCGTCTTGACATCGTACACTGCCTTCTGTCGAGAAAAAGACATATGCCGTGTTGTTGGCCCTCACTCCCATCAGTCTTGCTTGCATCGACTCCAGCTCTTTTTTTGTGCGTGTTGCGTTGGTCAGGTGGTTACTCGAGGTAGCCTCCCCAGTCCAGCCTGCACCCTCACTGGAGACTTTTATTACCGCGCCTCGCCCTCCCCTCCTCGACTTTTTTCCACCTCACCTTGAACCCTTCTTTCACCGAGCAGACCAAGAGGCACAAAGAGTACGTTGACCACCGCTAGGCACACCGTCTCCCCTCCTCCCTCGTGTGCAATCCGTGCACCTTCTCTACTCTAGGGAATGCTTGGCTCTTCCGCTGCATGTTTTGACCGAGAGGCCTATAAGGGCGGAATGATGGCTGGAGAAGAATGAACTTGAAAGAGTGCAGCAACTGACCCTGAAAGCAGCCAGAAGCAGCAGCAGACGCAGACGCAGACGCAGGGTGCCCCGCATCGCCTCAGAGTGTAATAGCCAGCAGTGCAACGCGACGAACAGCCAGTAATCGTCGATAGCATCTCCCCAGCGTCCATCCCGTAATCGACCCTCGGATCACGAGATTGAATCTGTCGGTTTACACACCACTCGACTCTTTTCCCTTGTCCTTGGAAGCCGCTGCATAGCCTTTTATTCTGGTCGTGAGCCTGTGCAACGACTCTCAGACTCGTGCCGTCAGCGTCGCGCCGTGCTCCACAGCCTTCCGTGCCGGTCCTGACGTACATCATCCACCAAAAAGCCTCCCGTTTTCTTTGTGCTTGCTCCTTAGCCACCTCCGACACAAATCACACATCTTGTTTCTCTTGCGCCACGACGGCTCGTTCAATTCGCATTGATCGTCCTGGCCGTCATTCTGTATTCGGTAGGTCCAGTCTCCTCTTTTTTCTTTGTTCGTGCTGCTTGCTTCTGCTTCACCACGCCGGCCAAAACCCTCACCAGCTCTGCCTGCCTCGCATCCCGCTGCCCTTTCCTTTCCTTTCCCTCTCCTCTCTTGGCCCTCACCTTGGCGTCACAAGGCTGCAATTCGGCTCACCTCCTTCTCTCACCATCGCCCTCGCCTTTGCCGGTCTCCCTTTCCCCTTGTTCTCGTTGTTTGTCGTCTTCCTGCCTTGCTGCTCGTCGCCTGTTGTATGTCACGAGCCCACCACGTTAAGCACCCCGCCCTGCTCCCTCTAAGACCCGCCTCTTCCTCTCTCTGCCCAGCTTTCTCGTGCCACTACACCAGCTAGCGATTTGGACCTATGGAATTTTCTCTACACCCGCTGCCGCCTGTCACCTCCTGATTGCATGTACCTACACCTCAGCAGCTGCTTTCTTTCCTGGAGGGGCGTCTTTTTCCCTTTTTCTTCCTCTCTTTTTTTTTTTTTCTCTCCCACCCTTCACTCTCCTACCCATTTATTTCCCCGACATACTGCCTGGCGCAGCTGAGAAATCCCCATCGCACCGAGCACTCCCTGGACTTTCGTACCTGAGTTTCTAGGCCACTGCCGTCGCGCAAGTTGACCATTTCATCATTGACAAAGCTACCAATTTTTTGCCCAGCGCGTCCGCCTTAGTTGGTGCCTTTCCCCCTCCTGCTTCTCAGCCCCAGTCATCTTTCCCTCCCCGCACTTCCCATTTCGCCCTGGCAGCGAGCGTGTCACCACAATTCATTGCCTGCTTGCCTGCACTGGGTTTCAATTGCCGCTGCATTCTCCAATTCGTATCCTGTCGATATCCCTGATTCGCATCCCATTTGTTTCCAAGGCGAGACCTCTTTTCGCTAAATCTCGACGTGTGTTTAGCGGCTCCTCTGCAAATTCCTGCTCAGCTTCAATTTGACGGAAAACAACCAGCCGCGTGTCATCGCCGCAACGGAAAAAGCATAAAAAAAAAGGTTCTTGCCAAGTCGAACAAGATCATCGACCTCATTACCGGCGACAGAAGCTCTTGCGACACGTCGCATTGCATTACCTTTTCCTATTTCCTCCATTCTCGTTGCCCACCACGGCCCTCGTCAAGGCTCGTTCTTTGTTGCCCCTCACCTGCCAACCGCTTGGGTGTTTCAAACTCGATCTCCGATAGCATTGGCGCCCTAGTCTGAGTACACTCGGCCCAAAATGTCAGCCCACCGGCCAAATGCTTTCAACAGCTTGCGGATGGGAGGTAAGTTCATTGTGCCGTACGGTGTACATTGGTACCTATGACTAATGAGCCGATGCCGTCTACAGAGGTGATCCGCGAGAAAGTTCAAGATGGTATTACGGGCGAGACCAGAGATCTGCAGTACACTCAATGCAAGATCGTTGGAAATGGTTCGTTCGGTGTTGTTTTTCAAACCAAGCTTTCACCATCTGGCGAAGATGCCGCCATCAAGCGAGTTCTCCAAGACAAGCGATTCAAGGTAACCAATACCCCCAGCTCCATCTTCCGGCATAGTCACCAGCGACTAATTTTGTTGTGGTAGAATCGAGAGCTCCAAATCATGAGAATTGTCCGACATCCCAACATCGTTCAGCTCAAGGCTTTTTACTACTCGAACGGCGAACGTGTACGTATAAGTCAGCATTATTTTGGGTGCCCCTTGACTAACAATCCTTCCAGAAGGATGAAGTTTATCTCAATCTCGTTCAAGAGTTTGTTCCCGAAACCGTCTATCGGGCCTCTCGCTTTTTTAACAAGATGAAGACGACCATGCCCACCTTGGAAGTCAAGCTGTACATCTACCAACTCTTCCGAGCCCTGGCATACATTCACTCTCAGGGCATCTGCCACAGAGACATTAAGCCTCAAAACCTCTTGCTCGATCCAAACAGCGGTATCCTCAAGCTGTGTGACTTTGGCAGTGCCAAGATTCTGGTCGAGAACGAGCCCAATGTTTCGTACATTTGCTCCCGATATTATCGTGCCCCCGAGCTCATTTTTGGTGCTACCAACTACACCACCAAAATTGGTACGGCCTTGTCATCCCGTCGAGTTTAATTCATTTGCTAACCTTGACTGTAGACGTGTGGTCCACGGGATGCGTCATGGCTGAGCTGATGCTCGGCCAACCTCTGTTCCCCGGTGAATCTGGTATCGACCAGCTGGTCGAGATTATTAAGGTTCTCGGCACGCCGACTAGAGAGCAGATCCGCACCATGAACCCTAATTACATGGAGCACAAGTTCCCACAGATCAAGCCTCACCCCTTTAACAAAGTGTTCCGGAAGGCTGATGCCAATGCGATCGATCTCATCTCCCGATTACTCGAGTATACGCCAACCGAGCGTCAGGCTGCCGTCGACGCCATGGTGCATCCCTTCTTCGACGAGCTCCGAGACCCGGCCACCAAGCTGCCTGATTCACGACATGGAACTGGCCAGCTGCGAGACTTGCCCGATCTCTTTGACTTTACCCATCATGGTAAGCTTGATGTTGTCAACCTGTGACTACCCTGGGGCGTATGGCTAACTTGATCTCAGAACTCTCCATTGCTCCGCAGCTCAACCAACAGCTCGTACCACCGCACATGAAGCCAATCCTGGCTGCCCGAGGACTTGACATTGACAACTTCACGCCAATGGCGAAGGCGGACATGCTGGCAAAACTGGACTGAGCCACATGGTGACTGAATAGAGTTGGCAGGCTTCTGCTGCACTCTTGGAAGCACTTGGTGTCTCTGGAAAAACAACCCTGTTCTCTCCCCCCGTGTAGAGCTTGGGTTGGTGCCGAGGGTAATGGCTCGCTACTAAACTTGGGCCGTGATTGGGAGAGGCGATTGAGGCATAGTCTCGAAAGCTTGCCGTGTGGAGTCCGCATGCTCGACACTAGGGAACGGGGTGAGATGGGTTTGTGCGGTGTGCTGTGGAGAGGAGAGCTTCGGACATTGTCTCAAAATTGGCAAAGGAAAGGAGGCGTTTTTTTGATCCCCTAAAAAACTTGGTTTTCCGGGCGGGAACCTGGGCCACCCGCCAACACGAGGGAGGCTGCATTGATGCGTATCGCAGGAGATCGCTTTTTTAGACCACATTTCGATGCATGACGGAGCTGGCTGTTGCTTCTTTTTTTTTGTTTTTCTTTTTCCTGTTGTCGTGTCATGAAGCTCCGTGCTTATGGAAATGGAGGGGATTATCAGGTCGATGGTATCGGATGTCGACCTTGTGTCTTAACATGAGTGTCTCCTTTGTCGCCTTCTATGCATCGGCGTACAGCGGGAGAGGGAAATGGGGGGGCAGGGGAAACGTTGAAATTGCTGGACGGACAAGATGTGAACGTCTTGGATCGTGGGATATAGAGCCCCAGCAGCAAAGCCCGGATGTCGCAGACAATGGATGGGGAAAATGAGCTTTAGCGGGACATTAGGACAGGCATCGTTTAAACAGATGAAAAAAAGGAATGGGAGATGGACTTTTACTACTACCATGAGAGCGCTTAAGAGAACCCTCATTGGTCCTAATTTTTGGGCGTGGTTAAAATGAAGGAACAAAAAAAAAATGAGCAAAATGTATCACGGAAGTCAGGCAAATGGTTAGAAGAACCAGGTAGATGCTCAACAAGGAGCTATGCACACCTCGATGAAGCACCTCAATCCAAGAAGCAAGATTTGTGCAAGATGCTACATTAATTTTGCGAGTAACTCGGCCATTGGGCAATTTCAGAGCATGGAGATAGTATCAACAAGGCAAACTCCTGCAGCTAGCCTAACAAAGAGTGCTCCATTGCACAAGACGTGATTCTCTGATGTTGAGGTCACCTTGAAGCTCCCGGCTCCACCCTGGTAACGCTCCAAGGCACATGCAAAAATATCCATGTACTACCTGTAGCAGGAAAAATGGCATTAATGATGAGAATACCAGATACTAGAGGAACATGGCTATAGTAGCAGATACCAGAAGAATATCGCGATGGTAGCAGATATTTGGGGAACCGGATATCTGCCAACAGATGCCAGTGATAGCAACATGAAGTAACCATTGATTTCCAAATTACAGCTACTCTTCGTAGCAGTAGGTAGGACAACTAAATGCTACGACACTGCACTCATTTGATCCAAGTTATACCCCTTTATCTACCTAGAGTATTTTCTTACATGTACTCTTTTCGCTCAAAGGGTGGCCCAATCACCGAAACTGCTGGATGTTGGTTCTCACACGAAAACAGTTGCAGCCTGAGGCACCAACGGGAAGACTAGGCCGGCTGCACGTCGCGGACCCACTCAGGCGCAGGGAATCCATCAACCACTAAACTTGTGCTAGTTCAGCGTTTGAAGGCCGTCGCGCGCGTTGCCTGCAGCAGCTTTTCCCGAGCTTTAAGCACTTCAGCAGCTCACCAGCCCAGCGCTCCCACTGTTTGCAATCATCAATTGCCTCCCTCACAATCGCTATTCGCTTCAGCCGAGAGTCGAATCATGGCCGACAACGATCGAAGGCAGCAGGGCGGCCATAATCGCAAGAGGAGATACAGAGGTTCGTTCAAGGATTCCCCCATTGTTTCGTCCGGAATTCCCCCAATGTTGTCGTTACACGCTCTAGCAGAAGCTCATGCGACCGTCCCTACCTGCAGATGACGATGATCATTACGACCGCCGCCAGCAGCGAAGGCGAATAGATTCAGTGCCCGTGCCCGTGCGTCTTCGACGACAGCTCCTCAGCCTTGCCGACTCCCCCTTGCGCCGATGGTCCGAGGAAGTGCAGTCCATTGCTCGCATGGTGGCCGAGAACTATGACGATGAGAACCTGCGTAATACATTTGTCAGTCTGGCCATGCAGCTGGTTGTCGAGCAGCCTTTGAAGACGCCGTTTGTGGCGGCTGTTGTGCTCGTGGCAAACACCATCAAGCCTGAGATTGTGGACGCCGTCCTCGCCCCCGTTGCCCAAGAGGCTGAGAGCAAGATCGCCAAGGGGGAGTGGAGAGAAGTGAAGCTGTACCTGAAGTTTCTGGCGTGCCTGCAAGCATGTTTGGAGGGCGATGGAGTCTTTCCTCTGCTTGAAGAGCTCTTCAGTCGTGCTGCCGACTTGCAGACGGCAAGCTCCGAGGATGTAGGTTTCTTTTTTGATCGAGGTCTCTTCTCTTCTGGTATCATACTAACGACAATCGTGTAGACCATTGGCACGGAAATTGTCAAGATCATCCTTCTTACGATCCCCTATATCATGGCTGCAGCCCCCGGCCAGTTCCAGCAAAAGGCAGCGGATCTCATGGATAAGACTGATATCATCGCTTCCGAACCCCACGCGCTCCAGGCTCTGGTCGACCCCTACCACCCTGACCCCTCGAGCGAAAGCGCAACGGCGTCCCTGAGCCTGTGCATGCTTTTGCAAAAGCAATTGCAAGCTGAGGCCTCCAAAAACTGGGAGCTGACCTGCATCCCAAGGCCCTGGAACATGCCTCTGGAGGAGATTGAGGCTCAGGACAAGCTTGCCAATGCACCAAAGCATGCTTTGCCCACGATTTCCATACCATCCACTGTCATTACTGGTCCTCGACCTCTGTTTCCAGAGGTCTATTTTTCCGTTTATGCTGACCAGGAAGTCGAGTCTGTCCCCTCGACGGATAGCGTGGCGTCTTCTCTAATAAGGGATGGCCTTACTGATACTATCAATGGCCTCCATTTCAACAGAAACGCCACAGCGAGATACCTCATCGATTTGGACTGCTATTTTGCAGACGATACCTTTGTTAAGCGCGCTACTCCATTCGATGAATTACGCAACGCGGCTCCCGGAAAGTCTACATGGAAGCCTGAAGATGTCGCCGTCGACATTGTCTTTGCACAGCTCTTCCAGTTACCCGCACCTGAGCACAAATTGGTTTATTACCACTCTGTTTTGACGGAAGCCTGCAAACTCGCCCCAGCTGCCATTGCGCCTAGTTTGGGAAGGGCAATTCGCTACCTCTATAATAACTCGCCTCGAATGGATCTTCAGCTGAGTTTCAGATTCCTTGACTGGTTCTCCCACCACCTGAGCAACTTTGGCTTCACGTGGAAGTGGGCGGAGTGGAGTGATGACTGCAGCCTTTCTGACCTTCATCCTGCAAAGTGGTTCCTGAGAGGCGCGCTGGACAAAGAAGTGCGACTGAGTTTCGCTCAGCGAATCCAGAAGACTCTTCCTGAACCGTATCAGCCCTTGATTGGCCCTGAGAAGGAAAAGGATGTGCCTGATTTCAAGTTTAACAACTCTGGTAAGTGGTGACTACTATCTATAACATACGCTTTATTCAAGTTGCTGACCGTGTTGCCTCGTGTAGACACGCCATTCTCGAGCGAAGGCCAAGAGATTGGCGCCCTGCTTAAGCGAAAAGCGCCTGATGAAGAATTCCAGCCCATCATCGATAAGATTGAGGCTGAAGCTGGTGAAAGAGCACTTGACCCGGTCGTTGCCAGCACTGACGTCGTCATGACGGCCATCTGCTGGGTTGGATCCAAGTCTCTAAGCCACGTCTTGGCTTGCATTGACCGAAGCAAGGAGCGGCTTCTCAAGGCTGCCAACTCGTCTCCGGCGGCGCAAAACCAGGTTCTGGCAGCTGTCATGGCCTACTGGCACGCACACCCCGGCATTGCCCTGTCGATCGTTGAAAAGCTGCTTAACTACTCCATCCTAACGCCTGCGTCAGTTGTTCGCTGGGCGTTGACGGATGGTTCTCCCATCGATGGCGCTAATGCGGGTGAGGCTCTTGCGCAGCCGCACATCTTCGAGCTCGTCTTGAATACGGTGACCAAGGTTAGCTTTAGAGTTCGCCAGCTTCTGGCCTCTCCCGACGCGGACGAGGAAGGGCGCAAGAGCGAGATCAAAGCCATGCAGGAGCTTTTCGGTCTTCTCAACGATTTGTTGGTCAGTTGGGCAGGTGGCAATAAGGATGAACTGATGGAGATGGGTGACGGCTTCAGTGAGCCTGAGGCCTTGATCCGCAGATGGGGTCAGCGTTGGCTCAGGGTGTTTAAGCGGCTGGGAGCTATTGAAGAGGCCTTTGTCATTGAGGCCTCGAAAGAAAAGCCGGAATCGTCGAATGGAGTCGATGCCGTTTAGAAAGCTTGGGTCGAAGACTGTGACGATATACTGTAGAGTGTGATGGGGGGACAACAAGGATGAAGCTTAGGACACTACCAAACATGGGCAGAAAGAGAATCTCTGTGGCTGTATATTGCAGCTAGGGGGGAGACTTGAGGGCTCTGCTCTTCTTTTTCTTTTTTTCTCTCTTCTGATTGTTAGGATTATAAGGGCGGGTTAACACATTCGCAAAGGTTTAGAAAAATGAGAACACAGATATTTTCAGTCATGCAATAAGAAGCATTTATATATTCCTTGAATCAAAAGGGAAAAAACGTGATTCAATTCCACTACTGAATCTTGGTCCTGTTGTTAAAAGAACAAGATGCTTACTTCATACTTGATAGAATGCCTCTTCTCATGAATGCTATTATGTGAATTTCCATTCCCTATCAGGCTGCCTGATGGCTATCCTATCCCAAAATATTTCCATTCCTTCCAAAGCTATCTACCAGAGACAAAACAGCAGGCGTGTAAATCATCATGCACTCGTCAAATACAAATCGCAAAAGTCGTTTCATTTCTCAACCGTAAACTCCGCTTTGTTAATGCCCCCATCCCGATATCCCTTTATCCCGAAACCACCATCCCGACCGCATGCCATTACATCTAAAAATGCGAATAGATAAAGACAAAGAGCAAAAGAAGAGCAATGGGCAAAAAAGACAAAAGTCAGCCATTCACGTGAGTTTTTACCGTCCACGAGCAGCTGAATCAGAAAAATTCAATCGTCGTCCTCGAGCTGCAGCGTCACACTATCAGTTTCCTCTTGATCGGCTGCGGAAGTGTTCCATCCGGCGACTGGTTCGGCTGGGCTTTTTCGCCCATTCGCTTGAGCTTCTCGAGTAGATGACTGTAACAGCGTTAGAGACGGTATTCTATCAGAAACGGGCTGGGGACGGCGGCGAAATTGGCCAACAAGCTGACGGAATGCTTCTGTTGCTGATCCACTTAGATCTGGTATGGCTTCCGGTGGGGGGCTTAAAGGGGCGTCGACAGCGGGAGTAGCTCTCGTTGTTGTTGTGTTTGTGGTGGGAGGGAATTCAACGAGTATCAGGAAAGGGGAGAAATAGGCATACTTAATCGGCATGTGGCCACGGCTGCTTTCTGTGACTGCGAGGTTGAGTCTTTTGTTCTGCTCCTGGTGTTCTTCAAAGTGCTTTTGAATCCGAGTTTGACACCCTTGCGCGTCACCACCTCGCACAACATAAGCGCAGCCATCTTCTTCGCACGTCCAAGTATCATCGGGGCCTTTGGGGACGGTGGAAGGTATCTTCTCTGTGCGAATTACAATCTGGATCGGCTCTACGTCGTCTGATTGCGACTGAACAGACGGACCAGCTTTTCTAGGGGTGTTCAATTCGGTCAAGTCTTGCATAGAAGTGTCCCCCTCTTCCTCCTCCTCGTCCTTATCCGAGAAATAGTGTGACCGTTTGATGCCTGAGGCTTCGGAGTCCGGCTCACTCTCATCTCCAATCTCGGCGTGAGTTCTTTTCTTGGAGGCAGTTCCTGTTCGTAGGCCTGATGTTTTGATCGGTCTCCGGCCAGGTCGTTTCAATGATTTGCCGATATGCCGAGGAGGATCGTTGGGACTTGCTGCACCAGCTTCATGTGAGGATGATTCTGGGTCAACAGCAGTTGGCGCTGGCTTCTTGGATTGACGCGGCATGGCTTTGCGCGGTATCAGTCGAAAAGGAAATTCCGATGCTTTTATGGCGCGGGTAGAAAATGGCTTTGTTGACAACTCCTCGAGAAAAGACCAGAGCTCGTGCTTCTGGAACCTCCCCTTGTCAAGTACCTGCAATAAGGCGGCAGCATTATAATGCAAGACTTCTTCGGCGGGAATGCGATGGGCTCCTACAGAGCCGTCTTTGTAGTTGGGGATTCTGTAGTTGAAATAGATAAAATTGAGAGAATTCGTCGCAGTGAGACCCTTTTTAGAACCCCCCTTTTCGGCATATAACGCTTCTAATGCAGCGAGGACGGAGGCCAACGGAGAGTCATCATCTGCTGCAGTGCTCATTGCACCGTCAGCAGATTGCGTAGGCATTGCTGGTCTCTGAGCAGCAGCACTAGGGCTGGCCACATCTGCAAGAGGACTTGGTTTCGGCCGTTTCGATAGCTGGATTTGATCGGGATCAACAACCTCCGTGCTTAGACTCCTAGTAATGCGATTGGAGGACCTGTTACTCGGCGCCGGACTCACTATCTCACGCGCCGGACTGCTTGGTTTTCGTGGGTTTTTGAGCGCCAACTCTGTTTTATGCACCACGTCCTGTATGTATGTTAGTCGAAAAGCGTTCGGTAGACCAGGAACGGTCAACTTACGGCGTGCTCAACCGTGAACCATTTATGGAATGGGGTTTGCTTCCAGTCTATAAGGCTGAGAGACTCCTGTCCAAATTGGCAGACGAAGAAGATGGCGTGCTCAGCACACCGCTGTATAACCTCGTTGAACGTTGCTCCATCGCCTACTTTCATGGCATACTGCGAAGCGTCGTTAGTATTGGTCGTTGTGAGGAATGTGGTTCATGCGTGTATTGGTTCTACCCACCTGCAACAAATCAGTGCGGAGAGCCTCCAGGAGGTTGGCACCCGGTGCGGTGGGTGTCTTGCTAAATTTGCCAGAGCTGTATATGTCCACCAAACTGTAGTACATGGTCGTGGCCTCGCACATCTTATTGAATATCGGTCGGTATGCGTCTGAAGGGTTGATCTCGTACCAGCCGCCTCGACCCAGAACCCACACAACAGGGCGCCCATCGTCCTCTCCGATCGAATATGCGATACAATGGCGGATTTCTATGGGTGTAGATGCTCGGACCCTCATGATTACTGCGATTGTTAGAGTTGCTGAGCCAAGGAGCGAGGAAGCAAGGGAGTGGATGGCAGTAACTCACGGTGTGTCTTTTGAGAGGGATCGTCTATGATGAGATGGCCTCGCACGACGTATGGGCCTCGCACGACGACATTGAGTGCGTTCTCGAGAGCCTCTCCCTTTCTATCGTAGACGGTGGCATCGCGCAGCTCGAAGCAAGGATAATCATCCTTGGAGACGTCCTTGGGCTGTGATCTGACAACGGAAGACTCCTGCAACCAGCGGATCTTGTCTCCATCTATGGTTTCGACGCTCGACGTCGACGCCCTTCGCCTGCGTCCGCTCATTATGAATCACAGATGTAGTAGGTGACCATAGGACGATATGAGTTTCGAAGCAGAATAAGGAACAACCGCGGGTTTGGACTCGAGGGATAGCTGGAGGCTGAGAGCTTTGGTGCTTTGGTGGTAGCGACGGTACGAGAGGCGGACTTGAAGTCGGCAAGTCGGATAGCGGAATTGCCAGAGGGCCAGCGGGATGATCTTGGGGGTGAAAGAGCTGAGATTCTTCACTTGGTTTGATCGAGAGGCAAGATATGGATAGCCGGGTCCAGGTGGTGTCTTTGGCGGTGTTTGCGCAGTTCAGTTGTAGATGCACCGTCCAAATCGTAGGCGCGCAAGTCGAAAAGGCTGAGAAGCGGCAGTGGGTGAACACGAGCGCGCTAGCACGGCGTCATAGGCGTTCGCGATTGCTGGGTCCAGTAGAATCTCGGAGGGGTCAGTGGCTTTGAATGCGCCGACCAGCCTTGTAAGAGCCACTGTAGCACAGCGCCGTTGCATGACCCCACTATCGCCCTGCTGTAGGATGGAAGACTTCAATTCAAGTCAATATTTGACCGCCCGCGGGCCCTTACTTGGTGGGTTGACAGCATCTATTACTCTGGACATATCAAGCAAATATACATGGAGACTTGCTACGCAGCATTTGGGGTCACAAATTTCTTCAATTGTAACTTTAATAGTAATTGAAGATAGTAGAAATAGCAACCAGCAGATACTATGGAAAATGGGTAGCAATGGGAGTAGACTTGAGGAATGTATCGGTAATAGCAGCTCAAATGTTAATGTGGAGGTACTTAACCCACAGGTAGCTTGCAGTAGCTACCTGGTTAAAACCTGTCAAATTCAAGCCTGGCTGTGACGTATTCTAAAATGAAAGTTTACTGAATTCCAAGTCAACAAACAGTGATGGAATTTGTCAATTGGATCTGAATTCATGGTGACAGGGACCCTCACATCAGCCTTCAACGGGGAGCCTTTCCCCGTCCAGGTATCGGCAAGTCCCTGTATTCTATACATTTGATGCGCCCGGGAGGGGCTTTTGTACATGCTCTATGCTGGTAAATTTACTGCACCTTATGTACATTGACGCTAACCCGGCACGGCCCAGGTGCAAGTACACTCACCTCTCGCAATCTCTTATCAGCGCGCTAGGACAAGTTTTTTTTTTCCCAGCCAAAACCACCCGTCGCCTGAGTCGCGGACTGAAGGCCGGAGGTGAAAGTGAGTTCGTGGTGAGAACTGCGCAACTTGCAGCTTCCCCCCTCTTATACCCGCCATCTTCTCTTCCGTTTCCTCTGTTTCCTTTTTCTCCTCTTCATACCATCTTCGTCTTTCCCTCCTTCGCCCATCTCAGGCCTCGTATGCGACGGCTTGGAAAAGTGTTATCGACAATGGCTTCGGACGTCGTCCGGGATGGTGTCTTTGGTAGGCATATCCTCATCCTGCTTCCCAGCTTTGTCGCATCTCTTCCAGCGAATCTGGCGCCTATGGAATCTTGCTAATACATTAATGCGCGCTGCTTTAGCCATCAACAAGCCTTGCGGCCTCAGCTCAGCCCAGGTGGTGCGAGAATGCCAGCAAGCCTTCAACCCCTCTTCCTTCTTCAAGCCCATGATCGATGCAGAAATCGCGCGCCGACTTAAGGAATCGGGCCCTCAATTCAATCGACGCAAGGCCGAGAAGAAAGCGTCACAAGTCAAGATTGGCCATGGAGGAACTTTGGACCCTTTGGCTACCGGAGTCCTGATCCTCGGCATCGGCTCAGCCACGAAGCAACTGCCCCAGTTCCTCGACTGCACCAAGACCTACGAAACCGTCGTCCTATTTGGCGCAAGCACCGATTCCTATGATCGAGTGGGCCGTATCCTGTCTAAGCGACCATACGACCACATTACACGGGAAATGGTGGAGAAGGAGCTGGAAACCTTCAAGGGAAAGCAGATTCAGATTCCACCCTTGTTCTCGGCGCTCAAGATGAACGGCAAGCCGCTCTACGAGTATGCGCGCGAAGGAAGACCTATACCCAGGGAGATTGAGGGAAGGGAAGTCGAGGTGTTGGAAGTTGAGCTTCTGGACTACTACGAGCCGAAGACACACAACCACCGCTGGCCAACGGAGGAGGCCGAGGCGTCTGAGCGCAACCTTGCCGAGCAGGTCTGGAGGGTTAAGAAGCAGCAGGAGACTGCGCGAAAGCTCACGCCGGAGGAAAAGGAGCAAGATGACCAGGCGGTCGCGGCCCACGAGACGTTCAAGCGCAAGTTTGAAGAGCGACAGGATGAGCTCATTAGAGATGCGCCGCGCAAGAAGCAAAAAACTGCGAGGCACTCAGCCATGATGTCTGGTGCTCTCGGTCAGCTACCTCAACCCGTCTACTCTAGTAAGGGCAAGAATCTCGTCCCTCCATCGCCCGACGAAAGCACTCCCCCACCATGGAGCGATGAGGGACCCTCTGCCGCCAGGATTCGACTAAAGGTGACGTCGGGCTTCTACGTCCGAAGCTTCTGCCATGATCTCGGCACCAAGCTGGGATCTGCGGGTCTCATGGCGGAGCTTGCCCGTGTCCGCCAGAGCGACTTCACCATCGGTGGCACAAACTGCCTTGAATACGATGATTTGGCCAAAGGAGAGGAGGTCTGGGGTCCCAAGGTCGCTGATATGCTCGCGCGATGGAATGGCGAGCCCGAAGGAAACTGGTCCGGCCCCAAGGCAGCTTCCAAGGCCCCGAGCCCATCTTCCGAGAAGGTCGAGGTGCAGAAGAAGCAGGAAAAGAGGAGCACCAGCCCAGTTGCATCACCTACTAATGCTGCTCGATCGGAGAAGCGATCACGGTCTCCATCTGTCAATGGTGCGGCATCACCTGCTCGCAAAATCCAGGCAAAGGGTGACGGAGAGAAGCCAACTCGGCAGACAAATGGCAACAAAGTGCCCAGCAAGTCGGACGATGAAAAGTCTTGGAACGGCTTCGACGACTAAAGCAAACGAAGAAAACTTATATTTCAAAACCTATCTAGGCAGCTTCTCACATACACCCTTCGTGGAAATGGGGAACCAAATGGCAGCGTTGCGATATTTCGATGACTGATAGCAGTCAGTCCAGGGGGGATGGGGACAGGAACACAGGCGTTTGGGGTGAACGAACAACGTCCTTAGGGACATGAAGGCGTCTATATAGAAGCAGATACTATGACTGATGGTAGTCTCTTGCGCCGTACCACAATGCATATACACAATTCTTCAATTCGCCTCATGTTCCCTGTCCATGAAATGCTCTATCCAGTGTCACCAGTAGGCACACCTTATACAGAGTATCTTATTATATACTCTTAATACTCCCCAGGTCGAGTATCACAGTCTGTGTGAGCCGAAACAGCCAAAAAATTTCAAAGCAGGACAAATCCCTATTCCTATGCATGAACCAATTCGCCAACAAAAGAAAAGAAAAAACCAATAGAGAAAAGAATCCTGCGCTGCCGATTCCCAATAATCTTATATCCCATTACCAACCCATGAGACCTAACCAACCCAATTAGTTCCAGTAATACTTTTGTTCCCTCGCATTTCATTTCATTCATTCAATCTTTTCAGACGCAAGTGACAGAGCCGCGGCGTCGTAGCCCTCCAGCAGCAGCGTCTTGACCTTCTCGATGCGGTTCATGGCCAATTCCAGCTTGTCCAGCCGCTGCTTCTTCTCCACGTCTCGCTTTTCCAACTCAGATATCCGCTGCTCCAGAGCTGCCCGAGCGCGGCGCTCCGTGGCCACCATCTCGTTCGCCTGCTCGAAGAGCGTCACGCTGAGCTCCTCAACCTCCTTGTTCGTGGCGTTGAGCCGGCCCTCCGCAGCCCTCCGCAGCATCTGTTCCTTGTTGAGGGCCTCGAGCAGATCTTCTTCCCTGCGGCCGGGGGTCCTTGACGGACTGCTGGAGTCGGTAGGCGGCGGCGTCACAGGCGGCAAGGGCTTGTTAGACGCAGGAGGGCTGGCGGGCTGCGATCGGCGCGAGTACATGAGGGCGGAGATCCTCGTGGCGCCGGCCTGGAAGAAGGACGAGCGGGTAGGGCTCTGGGTCGTCATCGTCGCGGGCTCGGGCGACGAGGAGAGCCTGGCCCGCAGCTTGGACAGCTCGGCCTCGTACTCGGCCCAGCGGTCGACGGCGGCGGTGGCCTTTTGGTTCAGCTGGAAGACGTGGGTTTCGAGCTCGGCGATGCGGGCCTGGGCATCGAGCAGCTGCATCGACGGCGGTTCATCGTGCTGCGGAGGGATCACGAAGCCGCAGCTGGGGCAGCACGACGGACTGGGATCGACGAAGAGCGATGTTGTTTTCGACGCCGTGACGACCATGGTGGACGACATGCTTGCTTGCTTGCTTGTTGCTTCTGATCTTTTGTGCAGTCTAGCAGGGTCCAGGCTTTCCCTCGGGTCGGGTCAGGTCAGGCTTTCTTTTCCACAGACCGCTCTTTTGCAAGAATCCTGTCGATATACTGACAACCGCTACAAGTTATGGCCGGGCAACACACACGATGAAGAGCGGGATTGGTGCCCATCAAGCACCCAAGCAGACAGGTTTGAAGAAGCCAAAAAGTGGCGGGGCGGCTTGAAGAATGTCGCGTGTAGGTGGAGTTGCGGACAGGGGCGCAAGGGAGGAGGGAGGCCCTGCAAACAGGGGGGGCTGGGGGGAACTGACAGCGGCTGGGTCCGCTGCTTCAGGGCACTTTATATCGTCTCAGCTGCAATCAATTGATGAAGAGTTGGTCTGTGTGACTACCGGAAGAGTCTAATACAGGTACCTTACATGAAAGACACCAAGGGGGGTTTTGATGCTATAATTAGCTGCAGACGACACAGAGGATTTGATGTCTGAGGGTCGATAGTAATTGAGACGGATATATTCGGCAATTCAGGGCATACATAGCTGGCCGTCTCTAGTCAGGCACAATGACAGTACTCCATTCTATTATAGCAGGCTGTCCCAAAATAGAGCTTCAATTAGTGCGCTAACAAGAACCTGAACCCGCCCCCATTCTATTCTAAATATCAACCAGTTTCGGCTGTCAACATATCCGTGCATTATATAGCAACACATGCGCCGCCGCTATTCATCGCCTCGTTTGGCTGCAGCCTGTTTCAATATTTCGGTATCCGGAGTCCAAGCAGTGGCCCGTTGGCGTACTTGGATGCTGTTCTGCGCCGTGGCCAATTCATCCCAACCTGAACCCTTGCCCCGGCCCTACAACGGTTATGTGCATGCATGAGCGCATACATGTCAATGCGGAGAGCCCAAGTGCCTAGCTAGGTAACCGGACCTAGTGTTGTTGATACTATTTGCAGTCCAAGATGTCTTTCTCCATAGAAGGGCGGCGATTGAGTTTCAACGTCTCGTAGCAGCATCTTCAGCTTGGCTTGGCCACCTTTCGCGGTTCGCTCACCCCCGTTTCGGGATCCTTGAACTCCTTCCAGCTAATAGGAACCATGTCATTTCCAATATCGCTCGTGGCTATAATGACACCAAGTTCATTTGAGGCTGTTGAGAGATAATAGTTGGCCTGGTCTCCCAAGGAAATCTAATGGTTCGTTGCGTCAGTCTTCCGCCAACATCAATACTCTGCGAATGTATAGTGTCTTACCACTTGGGCCCGAACAATGTCGCCAGGCTTGAATGACTCGTGAATCTTGACTTTGTCCTGCTCTGTCGCCCTCACATCTTGTACCCGTATCACGCCCTGCCACTCTGTCTGCAGAACCGTCTCGCCAACTTGTTGGATGACTACAATGGCCTGCTTAGGCATGAGACGCACCACGCGCGCCAATACAATGTTGCCGACATCTGGTAGCACCTCTCGCTTGCGGCCGCGTCTAACGACAGATATGGTCGCTAGCTCTTCCACAGAAGGAGCCGTAATCTTGTTCAATCGCTTGGCCGGGCCTGGAGCCTTGGCCGGTGCTGTGACGGCAACGTTGCCTAGCAGCGAGGAAACAATGCTGCCCTCGTAAATATGCGTGCCCGGGCCCGGAGCATACTTGCTAGCTGGGCCCAGGATTGTGCCTGGTATGGCGAGAGTAGGGATGCTGTCGGTCGCCATCGGAAGCTCAGCAGGCGTTCTATGAAGCTCAGCGACGATGCTCTATCAAAAAATCACCATCACTACGAGTAAAAGTCTTATCGCGATAAGGGTCACGTGCATTATGATATTGCCCGCCAACCCGCTAGCTCCATCTCGGTGACATTCTTCCGCCTCTTCATCCGCACTCGGACCCGAGGTGGGCTCAAAGGCAGCGGGAAAGCGGAGCAACAAATGGCGAGGCAAACGGAAAGAATTGTGCCTTGTATGGAGCCCCTGTTCCTTTTCTTACAGGTAACACGAAATATCACGAAACTCCAGGCTTGCAATTTTCACCATGCGCGAGTATATCATACGCAGTATATTTGAGCTTTTCCTCGACACCGGAACAAAGTGAACAATCTGCTGATCCTTCTTCATCGGCAGCCATGCGAAACTTTCGGCAACGGCAGGGAATCGCAAAACCCATGAAGCTCACTCACACTCACAGTGCCTGTCAGCCTGCAGAGAGAACCCACCATTACAGCTCTTCTTCGGATGTCAGATGGATTGAAAAATGTAAGCGGGATTGCAAAGTGTCCGGTGAGCCAATGATTCTTTGTTCCCCCCTCTCCCTGTGGCTACCTAATCTGCTCCATTGAAGTAATTCCTTGATACAATAATAACCTTTCTCCTAGTCCTTCAGCTGCTTGATTACAATTACACGGCACGAAACTACAAGGTATTTCTGTCGTACCGCCTTTTTGCGTCCCGCTTGAGTGCTGACCCAATCCGCGCGCGGCAAACCTTGATGAGTCGGGCAGAGGTCAACTCCCAAACCTACTTAGCCGGGAAATAATGGCGAGCAATTGATAATTGCTTAGTCCAGCCTACAAAGGGACCATCAGGAGATCGGCAGACTTAATGAACTCCGTGCCGATGAAGTGGATTCATCTTCTGCTGACAAACCGCAATGCCAGCTGGCGTCCAACTATCGACGCTTTCGGAGAGCTCAGGAGCGCCAAGTCAAGAGGCGGGCGGGTACGGACTCCGGTATACGAGCAGCCACGAAACCCGCCATTGTTTTTACTGGTTGAAACAATATCTTTCATGTTGTTCTGCGAACTTACAAAAGACCTCCGAGTGCTATCTCCGGCAGCCTCTTGGACTGCGGCACCGCTTCGGCGCCGCACTGACGTTGACGATTTTGTAACGATCGCAATGGAGATGGGACGCCGGCAGCTGCCCGGGGTAAATGCAGAGATTCTTATCCATCTCGGCATGTGTCATCTGGCTTTGCTAGACGGTGAAGCGTATGTGCATGTGCGGATCATCGATCTTGAGCCCCTATTGCTGAATTCTTGCCGGTAGCGAAACTGTTTGCGGCTCCATGCCACGCCGCCGATGGTGGAGTGCTCCCGTCTTGGCCCATGAGTTTTCCACAACAAGACGTTGTATGATTCATTCACCGTTGTGAAGCAGCCAATTGGAAAACTTCCGTTGGGGGGCCTTTGTTCAAGCTGCTCCAATTCGATTAGTCCGCTAGAGCCTCTCTCTGCTCCTTCGCTCTGCTGCTTTTGCTCTACGCTACTTGGAGGTCTGAACGCCACCGCACCACCAACGCAAGCATTGTTAACTGGTCTACGAGTACGAACGCATCGGGTTTCGTTGACGCCGACCTGCCTGCCTAGTCCCAGCGAGTGTCGCCCCCTGCCCTTCTGATGGATGGACAACCAATCTAATGTGGATCGGGGACCCAGAAGGGCTTGCTTCCATGCTTTTGTTTAACCCTGTCTGTTGAAGTTTTACAAACGGGAACTACTCCGGAGGAGGTTGTCTATATCCACTTTAGCCATGCATGGATGGCGGGCTGTCGCTCCGCTCGTTTATAAGCGTTTGCTGCCCCAGTTGAGCTCGCTGTTTGCGCGCCGACTCATCTCAAGTCGTCCTTGTTGGCTATGTCGCCTCTGTCGTGCCGTATCTGATCCGGGTAGCTCTTTGTTGCTTCCTTATAGCTGCAGTAAAACCATTCTGAGGCAGAGCATCTGATCTGGGTTCATGTTCGAGACTAAATCTCGTTTATCCGGAACCGCAAAGCCAAGACAATCTCCACGATAGACTCCACAGTCGACTAGAAGATACCCGTTGCGCCACCCGCTTTGCTGGGCAAGACATCTGCTGCTCCTGGTCTAAGTGACCGCGGCACCACGCCGAGGTCTGTATAGAGATGGCAGACCCTGGTGAAGAGAAAGAGATACAGACGCCCAAGGCTGTTACAGAGGGCCACGCGATCAGCATTCAATCCGCGTCTGAGAGCCGTGGCATTGATTCCGATAGTGAAAAAGCTGCCCACGTGAGCGAGAAGCACGACGATGAAATTGGACGAGTTGAGTCCAGGTCCGACCAGGAAGATGATGCACCCAAGGAGCCTCTCGCTACCACCAAGAGCCATGCTACCGATGCCAGTGTGGTCGTGAATGCTGCTGCAGAATATGCGGCGAAGCCCTGGTACAAAAAGCTCAACCCCATGCGCTGGGGCGGTATACCAGAGATTCCCAAGGAGCGGATAGTCTCTCGAGAGTACCAGGCTGGTTTCTTTAGCAGACTCACCTTTTATTGGATGAACCCTCTCATGACAGTGAGTTTTTGACCCAAATTGGGATCCTTATCCACGTGGCGGATGAGACATGCATTAGCTAACTTATTGTTTCACAGACAGGATATAAGCGCCAGCTGGATAAGCAAGACATTTGGATCGTCAATCCCGACAGAGCGGCTGAGCCAATGACGCTCAAAGTGAAAGAGGCCTTCAAGAGACGAGTTCAAAATGGACAAAAACGACCTTTACTTGGTGCTTTACACGAAAGCTTCACGTTTGAATTCTGGCTCGGCGGTGTTTGTTCGCTCATCGCAACCATCATGCAGGTCCTGTCCCCGTTTATTCTCCGCTACCTGATTCAGTTTGCAACCGATGCCTACGTAGCTCACGTCAGCCACGGTCCTGCTCCTCATATCGGACGCGGTCTTGGTTTGGCCATTGGCGTTACCGTCATGCAAGTAATCCAGAGTGTGTGTATCAGCCATTTCATCTACCGAGGCATGATGATGGGAGGCCAAAGTCGTGCCGTCCTGATTAGCATGATTTACGAGAAATCTATGGTCATCTCGGGTCGTGCCAGGGCTGGCGGTGTCAAGGAAGCTATTATGCCAGAGACGAACGAGCAGGACGAAAAGGACAAGGGCAAGGACACGGAAAAGGACGATGGCAAAAAGAAGAAGGGAAAGAAGGGAGCTCCAATGCAGGATGGTCTGGGCTGGGGCAATGGGCGCATCACCAACTTGATGAGTGTCGATACCTATCGTGTTGATCAAGCTTCGGCCCTTTTACACATGACCTGGACTTCCCCTGTCGCCTGCATCATCACACTCGTTCTGCTGTTAGTCAATCTGACGTACAGTGCCCTTGCCGGTTTTGGGCTCCTCGTCATTGGTGTTCCTCTCATCACCAGGGCTATCCAATCCCTCTTTCGTCGACGAAAGGATATCAACAAAATTACCGACCAGAGAGTGTCTCTTACCCAGGAAATTCTGCAATCCGTCCGATTTGTCAAATACTTTGGCTGGGAGAAGGCCTTTATCGACCGCCTCGCCGAGATTCGCTCCAAAGAAATCTACTCCATCCAGATCCTGCTCGCCATCCGCAATGCCATCAATGCTGTCAGCATGTCCATGCCCATCTTTGCCTCGATGCTGTCCTTCATCACCTACTCCCTGACCAACCACGGCTTGGCGCCAGCCGAAATTTTCTCTTCGCTGGCTTTGTTCAACGGTCTTCGAATCCCTCTCAACTTGCTGCCTCTTGTCCTTGGCCAAGTGATTGATGCTTGGTCCTCTCTTCAGCGAATTGAGCAATTCCTCCTTGAAGAAGAGCAGGAAGAGGACGTTACCCTCAAGCCTGAGGGAGAGCATGCAATTGAACTCATCGACGCGTCCTTTACTTGGGAGAGAACCCCAACCAAGGAGGCCGACAAGGGAGCTGCCGGTAAGGATAAGAAGCACGCCAAGAAACCAGAGGTTCCCAAGGAGACTGCCCAAGCTGCATCTGGCGATGACTCTAGCACGCTGGTGGAAGAGCGCGAGCCCTTCAAGCTGCAAGATCTAAATCTGCAGGCCGGTCGAAACGAACTGATTGCTGTTATCGGTACTGTCGGCAGTGGCAAGAGTTCTTTGCTTGCTGCCTTGGCTGGTGATATGCGCAAGACAAATGGTGACGTGGTTTTCGGTGCATCCAGGGCCTTCTGTCCTCAATATGCCTGGATTCAGAACGCCTCATTGCAGAACAACATTATCTTTGGTAAGGACATGGATAAGGACTGGTATAAGGAGGTTATTCGAGCGTAAGTTTACTTTACCCCTTGAACCCCACTACTGCTATACTAGAAGGCTAACTTGTTTCCTTTGATAGATGTGCTCTTCAACCTGATCTCGACATGCTTCCCAATGGTGATATGACTGAAATTGGTGAACGCGGTATCACAATCTCTGGTGGCCAGAAGCAGCGTCTTAACATTGCTCGCGCCATCTATTTCGACGCCGATATTGTCCTCATGGATGACCCCCTCAGTGCCGTTGATGCCCATGTTGGTCGTCACATCTTTGATAATGCCATCTTGGGTCTCCTCAAGGATAAGTGCCGTATCCTCGCCACCCATCAACTGTGGGTTCTTTCTCGCTGTGACAGGATCGTCTGGATGGACGGCGGTAAGATTCAGGCCGTCGATACTTTTGAGAACCTGATGCGAGATCACAAGGGCTTCCAAGACCTGATGGAGACGACTGCCGTTGAAAAGAAGGAGGAGGACGAAGATGAAGATGATGAAGACAAGCTCAAGCAGCTCACGCTGACTGAGACTGCTGAAGCTCGCAAGAACAAGAAGAACAAGAAAGGCGCGGCTCTCATGCAACAGGAAGAAAAGGCTCAAGCTAGTGTGCCTTGGTCTGTGTATGGCGCATACGTCCGCGCCTCCGGTACCCTGTTCAACGCTCCATTGGTCATCTTTGTCCTTATCCTCTCTCAAGGTGCCAACATCATGACCAGCTTGTGGCTCTCGTACTGGACCTCGGATAAGTTTGGACTGTCAATGGGTCAATACATCGGCATCTACGCCGCTCTCGGTGCCCTCCAGGCTATGCTCATGTTCCTCTTCTCCGTCATGCTGTCTATCCTGGGTACCAACTCCAGTAAGGTCATGCTCCGCGAGGCAATGTTCCGAGTCCTGCGTGCTCCCATGTCCTTCTTCGACACCACGCCGCTGGGCCGCATCACGAACCGTTTCTCCCGTGATGTCGATGTCATGGACAACAACTTGACGGATGCCATCAGAATGTACTTCTTCACGCTCTGCATGTGTACTGCCGTGTTTGCTCTCATCATTGCCTACTTCCACTATTTTGCTATTGCCCTTGTGCCCCTGTATTTCTTGTTCATTGGAGCTGCGTCGTACTACCGTGCGTCGGCCCGAGAGGTCAAGCGTTTCGAATCGGTCCTTCGATCGACAGTCTTTGCCAAGTTTGGCGAGGGCCTTACGGGAGTGGCTTCGATCCGTGCTTACGGGCTCAAGTCCCGATTTATCAAGGATCTTCGTGACTCGATTGATGAGATGAATGGCGCTTACTTCCTGACCTATTCTAATCAGCGGTGGCTGTCACTCCGGTTGGATCTGATTGGTAACCTGCTCGTGTTTACCGTCGGAATCCTTGTCGTCACATCGCGATTTAGCGTCAACCCTTCCATTGGTGGTCTGGTTCTCAGTTACATTCTGTCTATTGTGCAGATGCTGCAGTTCTCTATCCGCCAACTGGCTGAAGTAGAGAACGGCATGAACGCTGTCGAGCGTCTCCGCTACTATGGTAACGAGCTTGAAGAGGAGGCTCCCCTCCACACCGTCGATGTTCGCGAATCTTGGCCTGAAAAGGGAGAGATTGTCTTTGACAATGTCGAGATGCGTTACCGAGAGAATCTACCTCTTGTGCTCAAGGGCCTGTCCATCCACATCAAGGGCGGAGAGCGCATTGGTATCGTCGGCCGTACCGGTGCCGGAAAGAGTTCCATCATGAGCACTCTGTTCCGTCTGGTCGAGATCTCCGGAGGCTCCATCTCCATCGATGGCATTAACATCGCCACCATTGGCCTGTTTGATTTGCGTTCCCGTCTTGCTATTATTCCTCAGGACCCGACACTCTTCCAGGGCACTGTCCGCAGCAACCTTGATCCCTTCCACGAGCACACCGATTTGGAGCTCTGGTCTGCTCTTCGCCAGGCCGATCTCGTCCCCGCGGATGCCAACATGGAAGACCGCAAGACAGACCCCTCGCGCATCCATCTCGACAGCGTCGTCGAGGAAGACGGTCTCAACTTCTCGCTCGGTCAGCGCCAGCTCATGGCGCTTGCGCGAGCACTCGTCCGCGGCTCCCAGATCATTGTCTGCGATGAGGCCACGTCCAGCGTCGACATGGAGACGGATGACAAGATCCAGCGCACCATGGCCACGGGTTTCAAGGGCAAGACGCTCCTTTGCATCGCCCATCGTCTGCGCACCATCATTGGCTACGACCGCATCTGCGTCATGGACGCCGGTCAAATCGCCGAGCTGGCCTCTCCTCTAGACCTGTGGAAGATGGAGGGCGGGATCTTCAGGAGCATGTGCGACAGAAGCGGCATTCGCGTCGAGGATATTGAGAGTGCCAAGCTGGAGCTGGATCAGTTGGATGCTGCTACTGCCGCTGCCGCTGCCACCAGCTCATGAAAGAAATGATGATACCCCCCACACAAACCCCCTTATTTTCATCTGAACCTGTTTTTTCCCTTCTTCTTCTTCTTCGTCTGGGGTTCATGAAATGGAGAGCGCTCATGTAGAGCAATCCTAAAAGTTTTACGTCATGGTTAATTTATGTTTTGATGAATTTAATGTGTGCTTCTTTATGTTTAATAGACGGGGGAGGCAAAGGTTATAAAGGTGGTACTACCTATGCATGACGGATGGTGGGAGGATGGTGAAAGGCACACCTCATAAAATAGAAATTAATCATTCATACATACCTCACAATCCTCTTCCTCTTGTGAATTAAGATCATCTCTAGCAGCATCTACTTGTTCAATCCCTAGACAGACGTAGATCACTTCACTAAGACAAACACAGGACTCATGCAGAATAAACATAATCATCAGCCCACTACGGCATGTATTAAAGTATTGCAGTTGACGTTAAGACAAAAACAAGCTATATACTCGAATAAAAAGATGGCGCTCCAAAAAAAAATAAACGATGCTACAAAGTTGTTCACAAAGCCGCACAGTCCTCCCATCTAAGCTGCTGACGGAAGAAAAATAAAAATTCAAGCCCCCTCCCAGCCTGCTTTACACAAGTCTTCTTCCCCAAAGGCCCAACCGAAAAAGAGTCAGATAAAGTAAATAAATAAAAACATCATACACTTGTTCATCATTGACGCCATGAATCCCCAGTCTTTTTCATACTTGATATCAAAGACCCAAACACTTTGCGTATACTGTTGGTAGCAAAAGTATTAGTTAGAAATGCGCCGAAATAAGAAAAATAAAAACTCCAGACAAGGGCGATTAATATCGGTGTCGAGGACTGCCGCTGCCTCTTGGACCAGAGTTCGGAGGCATCTGTGGCGGAGGAAGGCTTCCAGGCTCGTCGGCAAGCAAGTCTTCGAGGTAGGCGCTCGGGGCTCGCTGGCCTGGCTGGCGAGTGTTCAGGTTCACAGAGCTGCTGCTCATGTCTCTTCGGGGCGTGAAGTGAGGAGAGTCCGGGGGCGACGGGCCCATGAGCGAGTTCCTCGAGCCGTTGGGGTGGCTCATCGAGTCGGGTCGCAGATTCGTCAAGCTGATGGAAGGACCTTGCTGTCCACCGGGTGATGAGTTTCCAGCAGCGTAGAACCCAGAAGGCAAAAAGGTCGAGCCGCGACCGCCCGGAACGTTGGATCCGGCAGCGGTAGGCGAGAAGAACAGGTTGGACTGGCTGGGGGCGGCAGACGGCGTCATGGTGTTTCGGTTGGTACGACGAACGCCGCGGCCACTGCCGGCGGGAGGAGGAGCAGGCGAGGCATGGTCGGAATACTTGTAGAAAGGCGCGGGAGGTGCCGGGAAGCCGGTCTTGTTGTTAGCCTCGTGCTGGGCCAAGGCGGCACGGCGAACAGAGCGGTGCAGGAGGAAGCTGACGATGATGCGCCAAAGCAAGACGCCGATGAGGAAAGCGCCGAGGATGGCGCCAACGGCGATGAAGACGGTTCCATCCGGCGCACTCGAGTGCTGCATGAAGGGCGCATTCTTGGTCGGCGGCACGGTTGGGGGAGGATATGTCGGGACGTTTCCTCCGGGTTTTGTCAGCGTCGGGAGGCCAGTCGGGCCTGAATCATTGCCGCCGCTGGACGAGGAAGAACTTTGCTTGTTGTTGTTGTTGTTGTTCTGGGCCAGGACCGGAGAGGCCAGGACGGCAACAGCCAGAGTCGACAAGAAGTTGGAGGCCCGCATGTTTACTGAGGCGTAATGCTGTATCCTTGTGGACAAACGAAGTGTACTGAGGCGCAATGCGAGCCGTCGAGTTTGAGCGCTGCTCTTTATGAAACACGGTCAAAACGAGGGTAAACAAAATCGGATCGTTGGCGAGGAGGCCGTTGCTCGTATGTCGCTTTTGGCGTTTGGACGGAAACAGGACGAAAGCGTCAGGATGCATGCAACAGCGAATGGAGGCTGAAACGAGACCGGCAATGGGTGGCCGTAACGAACGTCGCGGGAGAAACACAATTCGATGCGAAGTGAAGCGATTCGAAGCGACCGGAGACGCAACGCCGAACAAACCCGGGCAGAGTTGACGGATCGAAGCGTTTTGCTGACGAGGGTTGATGGGGAGGGAAAAAGACGGCACGAATCCAATCCAAAGAGGCTGCGCGTGTTTTGCACTTGACCTCAACTCCTTTTAGGCCAGGGCAACCGACAGCTGGCGTTGAGCTGCAGTGCTCACTGTAGGCCGGCAATTAGTGGCGGGCTACGGGCGTCAGCGGCCTGGACACACTGTGCGGGCTCTGGAACGCAGCGCCAATGGCGGCAGGTTACAGGGCGGGAGTGGCTGAGCGCGGCCCCTCTGCGCGCTGGAGAAAAGCTCGTATCGGCGTGATGGCAGGTGGCCTTACAGTGCGCATTTGGGGGAGACTGGCTCTGGATCTGGACGGGATGGAAGCTTTTTTATTTCTCCGCGTTGGAATCTGACTACAAATATTTGCTCAAAAAAACGACAGAGAGAGACGAAAAATTGGATTCCTCGGTATAATGCAGTCTCTTTAGCAATCTGAAGGGGCATCTCAACAGGGCTATTATTAGTACATGGAGATGCGGGTTGTGCATACAAAAAAGACTAGTACTGTAGTCCATTGAATGCGGATTTCAACGTCGCAAAACTTCACTCGACGAATGGCTTGTCCTTCCTTGCACGGAATCCCGTATAGCCATCTCCACCATGAGATGCTTCTTTTAGCCTAGCATTTGGGGTGCCTTGCAGGTTCTCGATACAGATGGAGCGCCTCGTATTGCTAGCAGCGTGGCGGTATGCAATACACTGATGTGCCAATGTGTCAGTCAGTCAAGATGCTGATGGACCAGAGGGGCAGGTGGACAACAGTCATCAAGCGGGTAGGAAAAAGTCTACTTATGGACATTCTGAATTTATTGTGAGGGACATGATCGAATAACCAGTTGAGATGCTATTTATTGTGTCCTTGGTAAGAAAAGCATATTTTTTTTCTATATAAAAGATCATCTAATGCATCATCTCGTTTCAGGTGCGTACCTCGTACCTTGATACAAGCAAACAATGTTTCATCGCCCAGCGACCCGGCGCACGTGACTCTGACGTTGGCTCAGCCGCTGGACTGGCGCTACCGCCAAATCCCAGCCTTTCAGCAGAGCGTCATCACCAAGCCGACTAAAGCCTCTCCAACCTACAATCAATCCATCCTCTCGTCGAACGCCGCATCTTCATCGCCCGCCTTTTCTCCATTCAGCGCCTTTCATCGCCGCAGCTTAATCTCTTCTCTCTTCTGTATTTTTCCCCCGACTCTCCGAACCTCGACTTCGACAGCATGGAGGAAGAGCGCCTCTGGAAGTTTAGGAAGCCTGAGTGGTTGAACAGCATCTGGGCCCGGAACGCTGGCGTCTACGGTGCCGGAGCTTTGGTGAGTTTATTCCCATCCTGCCGAGTCTCAGCACCTCATTATCTTTTATTCTGCGAGAGAAACTTCTCCGGGCCTTTGTCGACAAGTCCACGGCTCCCCCAGAAGCCGCTGGCTGACGTATGCATTCGCAGTTCTCCCTCGCCTTCTATGTCATGCTTGACTCCGCCGTCTGGTCCAAGTCGGCCAAGAACGGCTCCAATGTCCACGTGAAATTCGTCGACTGGCTGCCGCTCATCTTCTCCAGCCTGGGCATGCTCATCATCAACTCGGTCGAAAAACAACGCCTCAGCGCCGACTCTTTCAGCTATAGTGGATCTGGTGTCGCATGGAAGGCGCGTGTGGTCTTGTTCCTGGGATTCGCGGCCCTTGCCGGCGGCATGGCCGGAGGTGTCACCGTCTTTGTCCTCAAATTTGTTGTTCCTGGAGTCGGCATGCCGGCCCTGAGCATGGGCATTGAGAACCTTGTCAGCAACGCCCTCGTGGGCTGCAGGTACGTACAATCCATTCGGCGGTTGGTTATGAGGTGCATCAGCTAACTTTATATCGCACCTTTAGCTCTGTCGTCTTGTGGATCAGCCAGAACATGGAGGACGAGTTCACCTACAACCTCTCGCTTTAACTGACTGGACCTTGTACTGCGCGCAAAAGAGGGGAGCAAGTGAGGAGCAAGTGTCGGCGAATGTCTTTGGATCACGGGCGTAACTTGGGGCTCTTGGGAAGGGTCTGGATTTCTTGTTTTTTATTTCCCTTTTGGCACACGCGCGCGCGCATACGCAGAGACTTTAACAAGGCGCAGCTAGTGATGATTTAAGCCTTTGTTTCTTGTACGAATCGAAACGATCAGTTTGCTGTATGAATTTGAACTTGGGCCATGTTTCATATTGTATGGCCAAGAAATTGGCAATGCATTGGTGTTTGTAGCTGAGCATGTTGAAGGTTACTCTCCCTTCGAAAATCAAGCAGAATTCAGGCCTTTTATAAATAATTTCCAGAATCTTTAGAAAATGAACCCACAAAAAGCACTGCAGGGGGGCGCCATTGCAGTTGAGGCTATCAAAGCAGGGCCAACTTAGTATGGAGTACAAACTGCAGAGAGCTGTCACTGCTAGCGCTATCCACCAATAACTTTTTCTGGTCCATCAATGGCCATCCAATCCTCTTCAGTAAACAACAAACATAAACAAAGAAATACCCTTGCATTCTCCTTCAACACTGCATACTACAGATTGGCGCATATTCCGTTACTATCGCCTTTTATTATATTTCATCGACGCTATAGCACATCATCCGTACCGCCATCATCGATACTGCGCTTCCCTCCAATTCCTACTCCCGCTTTCCAAGACATACAAAGAAAAAAGCCATGAACGAGCGAACCCGCAGCGCCGGATCCTCGCGCACGACCAGAAGTTCCGGCCTGGCCGCCGCGAGCAGCAGCAACAGCGCCAACGGCAGCAAGACGAGCCTCTTCCGGAGCCACTTCATCAGGCGGCCCAACGCCGCTACGTCGGCCGATCCCGAGGGCGTCGTGCGCCAGGACGGCGAGACGACGCAGCAGCAGCAGCAGTCCGAGGCAGCGGCGGAGCTGGTGGTGCGCGATCAGCACGGCGAGGTTGAGATTGGGAACCCTCCGACGCCGGTGGTGGACGACGAGGAGGAGTTGCAGGCGTTGGAGTATCAGCAGGAGAACGAGAGTGAGGAAAACACCTTGAGCCCCAATTGCTTTCTTTGTTGTTCTGCGTTTATTGGTTTTCTTTCTATATGCGGCGGGAGTTTTTGCTAACTAGGTACGTACTTGTTTTCGTCTAGGAGAAAAGCAGCGCTTGGCAGAGGCCATTCGCCATTACCAAATCAGCCACAGCTCCATGGCCGATCAACCAGACGGTGAGTTGAATCGCATTCGCACTTGTGGGATGAAGGTTGTTGGCTGACGTTCTGTGTCAAATTCAGCCCTTTTCGAGGCGGTCCGCGAGAGCAACAGGAGCAAGGTCAGCGCATTGGCCGAAGACAACTGGATGTTCGAGCCGGAAGAACAGCCGCGCATATCATGAACGACGACGACAATCAGCGTTAATTTTGCTCCTTTTCTATCCACCCCGCCGTTATGACTATGATACATGAATGATTCTATTTCGTCGCTGCCGATTCAAGCAAGATATGAGAAGAAGATGATGATCAAGAAGAAGAAATTGCTTCTTAGTCTAGCCCTTCAGCAGCGGGAGCGTCTGCTCCACGCAGCCCCGGCCGCCGTGTCTGTTGCGGCGGCGCGGCACCACCTCCACCAAACAGCCCGCTCATCATGTCCATCAGGGGGTTGCTCTGTCGCGGCTTCTGTATGCCAAAGTACATCTCGCCAATCATCTCCAGAGGCTCCGCCCACGCCTCGGCCTCGTCGATCTGCGTCGCATACTTGGACACCAGACCCTTGTAGACTTCGGGAGCCCCTCGCTGGATGGCCAGGAGCAGCAGGCCCAAGAAGTTGAGCAGCGGGAGGCTAGGGAAGATGCGAACGTCGGAGGTGGCGCTAGAAACGTCTTGGACACCGAGGGTCGGGTTGTCGTTTGTGAGGGCGCTGGCGAAGAGTCGATAGCTGGTGGTGGCGGCGCGGACGTTGCCGACGAGGAGGTAGGGGAGGACAGCTCGCGCCGCAAAGTGCGGTGCCATGTGGGCGTCTCCTTCTCTGTACCAAGCATACTCCATGTTGAAGAGCACTTCTGGCGAGTCCTTGGTTCCCAGTATCAGGTGCCGTTCGGCCTCGTATGTCTCGTGCTCTTCAGCGTATAGTGAGCCAGCAACATGGTGCAGCTCGGGGTCGCCCGCAGGGTACTCGCCAAACTTGGAAGACCATCTAATGCCAGGCCATAACTGTCAGCCATCGTATAACGTAACATACGACCACCAGCCCCAGCACCACACATATATGGCAAACCTCCCCCAAAGACTTTTTTACTCACCCCATGCTCTCAGTAATAAACTTCTTCCTTGTGGGCTCTTCCGGATCAAACAGCCGCAGACACGTCAGCAGTCTGCCCTTGCTCGTCGCATCCGGCTTCAGCTCGGCCTGCTTATACACGTCCACCATCATGACACACAGATCGCCGCCGCTGCCGCCCTGCGCCGCCTTGAGCAGCGACTGCGCGACGCTGTAGAGGATGTCGATTGCCGCGGGCCAGTTCTGCGTCTTGATGTAGCGCGAGGCGGCGACTCGCGTCTGCTGCTGCGCTTCGTAAAAGTCGCCCTCGGCGATCTTTTCCTGCAGCCGGGCGACGATGCGTTCGACTTTGCTGGCCATGGCGGGAGGCGGAGACGGTGCTCGAAAGCTCAGCTGTAGAGAGAGGGAAAGTCTTTCTTTTCCTAGAAGCCGAGGTGGAGTGTGGCCAAGGTTTGGGTTGTGGTTTAGGAGAAGGAAAGTGTTCGTGTTCTAAGAGCTATGATGGATAGAGAGGATGGAGGGGTAGCAGCAGGCTTGGGTGGGATTTGCAACCAACCTACTGTAGCTCCAGTTTCTTCCCTCTATAAGCCTGAATTATAGAATCGAACTCCAAACCTATTACATCATCACAGCGCGAATAGTGTAGCGGTTAGCATGCATGCTTCCCAAGCATGCGACCCGGGTTCGAGTCCCGGTTCGCGCATCTCTTTTTGCCTTTACGCAGTCTGCTTCACGTCTTGTTTTTCTTTTTGCTTGCAGACATCTCACTCAATTCAGCTTCTATTCTGTTTCTCTAGTTAGTAGCGGGGGAGTGGTCTTTGCAGTTCTAGAAAGAAATGGAGCATTAAGTGGACCGGCTCTCAGTTTTACCAACAGGTACTGAGTCAAGCAACATCAATCAGCTTCGGGAATTAACAGGAAGGCCTACGGCCGTGTACCCAAAAGGATATTGCTTAACTAGCATATTGCTACGTACGTTTATCATAAAGACGGCCGTTCTATATTACATTGTTGCCCTTTGATGTGCCAACCCAGAGTTAAAACCCACGGCACTCGCCTTCTGGTTTTATACTCCAGCCTCGAGCTACGAAATACCAAGTTTCCCTTGAAAAAGTTTCCAGGTTTATAAAAAAAAAAAAAAAATCCCCTGGCATGTTTATTCCTTACGTATCAGTGAGCCCAAGTGCTACCCGATGGCCTTCTTCCCTTCTCGTATAGCCATTTATTATTAAGTCCAATGCTCGTCCTCTTGCCTCCCGCTGGGCTTGGTGAGGTAGGGTCAGAGAAGATGTTGGACGAGGTGCTCGCGCCAAAGGAGCCCGGCGATCCAAAAGATGTCCTCCTATTGTTCATACCGTTGACGCTCTGGAGGAGAGGGTTCCCAATGGGGGAGAATTGGGAGAGCGCGCCAGCAAAGCTCGGGGGAAGAGGTTTGGTGATGTCGCCTCCTCGACCATCCAGAGGAGAGCCAGGATAGCTAGCTCTACTTCCCACTGAGCCCGCAATGGATGGTGTTCGTGAATATCGCGGAGGTGTGCTGAATTTTGCCTCGGGCGTAGGTGCGACCACCGACGGATCGAGTCCCAGCAATTTTCGCTGGGTAGCCGTCAACGGGATATCGGAGAGCTCGTCTTTCGGCCGAATGAGCGGCAGACATGCCATGCCAATCTGGATGAAGGGGAGGAGCTGGGCGAGAAACCAGGCCCATCCGAGGTACAGTCGGAGTGGCTTGGGCAACCTAAATCGTCGATCTGGTGTTAGAAAATGCACCATTCATGTGCTGGAATCCCAGCCGTCGGCTCTCTTGTTTCTTCTCACATTTGCGCGTCTAGCTTGAACTTGGCTAGCAACTGAAGGGACCACATAGCCAGCAAGGCGACAATGTTGTAGGCAATCCGCCGCACGTTCTTCTCGGAGAAGTTGGTAGCATCGCGACGTCTGGTGATTTCGTCAAGTCGAGGGTGCCTCCACGTGCCTGGGCTGTCGGTAGCTGTGGCCGCCGTAACTTGCTTCACGGGCGTGGTCGCCCTGGCCAAGCTCGACATTCTGAGGAATTGTGAGCCCAGAGGACACGGAGAAACGATCTGTGGGGGATTGAACAGTAACCGGTCGGCGATGAAACAGTATGGATGTGTCTATTCAGTTTTCCTGATGCGGGCGTTGGTAAGCTAGGCCAACTTCACGAGACTAGGCGCAAGCAAACAAGGGCAGAAAAAAAATCAGAGCGAGAGTTGGAGGACGTGTTGGACATACAAAGACGGTCGCAGGTTGCCGAAGAGAGGCTGAGCCTCGCGCAGATTCACTAGATTCGTTAGTACAGCCAGAGGAGGGGAGGGAACAGTGGCCAGGGCGGCCGTGAGCTTGTGATGCTCAGTGTTGTTTATGTTTGCATAGTAACTTGAACGTCGTGAGAGCAACTGGGAAGATTGGCTGTGCAGGGGTGATGCAAAGCACTGGAGAGGTGAGCCGGCAGCGGCACTGTAGGCGCACGGGCCCGCACATTTACAAGGGCCCTTCGGTGGTCCATTAAAATTCCCATAGCGGCATCACCCAGCGCACCTCTCACTGAAGGCTCGAATTTGGAGGGCACTTCACGATGGGCACTTAGAAGGGACGGCCGGTACCTAGCTGCAAGGTACCGCGCCAGTTGACTACGGGCACGTCGGTACCTATGCGCACGCCCGCGACAAGTACCCGTCGTCGCTCAAAACCCGCAGCTAGGGCGAGGCAAGGTCATCGCAGGGCGAATTGGCTTTTTGCTGCTAGCCTTATTGGCAATGCGCGTACGTGCGCCTCGTGCTTGACCTCAGCTTTTCTTGCCCGCGAGAAATGTACCGGTAGCTTGTCCCCATTTCCCTGGCCTTGTGGAAACTCCCAGCCCGTCCGTTGTCATCAATTCTTTTCCCACATCACCATCACCCTCGCATCATCATCATCCCTATCCATCAGCTGCTTGGCCACGACCCTCGCCATCGCCATCGGATCGCCATCGGCATCAGCGTCTGTCTGCTTGGTGCAAGTCCGAATTCCCCTGGCGCCAGAGTCATAAATCATGCGCCGTTAATTCCATTGTCCACCGCAAGACCAACAACGACGCACTCTAGCTTCTCCCTCAAAACAAACCTCGACTTCAACGTCATCACCACAAACTGCTCGCGCCATGGCCGCCTCGCCTAGCTCAGCGGACGCCGCGTCAGATGTAGAGCACCGGAGCTCTCCTGCTCCAGAAACCAAGTCGTTTGCCTCGCGCGCCGAAGTCGACGATGAAGACACCATCATCGCAACCCCCTCCGAGGCCGCTGAGAAGCCCGCTAGGAGCAAGGGTAAAGGAAAAGACAAGGACAAAGACAAGGACGCGCAGCCTCAGATTGGCAAAATCAGACATTTGAAGAAGGAGGATGGAGAGCCTCTGTGGCGCAAGGATATCCAGTACGACTTCTTGAGGGCCGTCTTCGACAATGAACAAAAGGTCTTCACCAACTCGTACGACACTGAACTGGAGAAGCAATGCTTTGCCGACTTGTACATCGACACCATGGCGCGCAGTTCCAAGACAAGCAAAGTGCTGAGGGACAAGTTGATGAATGACCGAGAAGCTGCCAAAGGCATGGCCATGGTCTGTTTGCTGGTTAACATGGGCCGCATGAACACGACTCTCAACTGTGAGTACCTCCCCTATTATCTACTCATACTCCATCCATACACCTATGCATCCGTCTATTCAGTTGCATTAAATATCTTGAGCGCTCCAACAAACTAACCCATGAATCCATAGTCTTTCCTGAAATGCGAGCGCAGCTGCGGACATATCACGCCATTCCTTCTCTCCAAGCGCAGCAAGATCCTCACGCCTACAAGCAGCTGCAAGACGCCCCGCGTCTAAAGTCCATCCTGAAGGGCGGCGCGGAGGATCGCGACGAACCGAATTCTTTGGACAAGATTAAGCAGCGTGGGATTCCTCGCACCAATCCCGTCAACCTCATTTTTGTAATGTGCAACTCGGCGCAAAAAGTCGCAGAATTGCATTTCCCGCTCCATCGCGAATTTCACGACGTCATTATGAAAACTCAATACACCAGCATGTCGAGAGCAAAGGCCTTTTTGTGGCTAATGTGGTTCTACCTCGAATCTGATTTTACGGAGGAGGGATGTGAGGAGAATCCTTTCGGCCCTGGCGTAGACTACGGTCTCGATGTTGCCAACCAAGGAGTCCCTAAGCTCGAAGAAATGACCGAGGAGCAGGAAGCCGCAGAGAATGTTGACCCAGCTGTCGAGATTGAGTTTGGTCACGAGAAACAGAAAATCCGTGCCACAATCTTGGAAATGGATCATCAATTCCTAACAGAGCGAGAGAAGCGTGGCAAAGCTCGACCATCGCTGGCAGATGATGGCCCTGCGATTTTGCCCCGAATTAGGCCTTCCAAGCATGAATCTGACATTGAGAGTACGCGATCGACACCTCCTCCGAGAGCACTAGCCCGAACGATTGCGGTTATGAATGGACGTCGAACGGTTCCTCTCAAGTATCAGATTTTCGAAGGATCCTCGCCTGCTCGCCACGGAAACGAGAGTGGCGTTGTCGCCAGAAAACCTCGTCCACCGACAGCACATCAGCTTGCCGTTGAGCGAAACCGAAGCCAAAGAGTAGAGTACATTCTTGACCGTGGCCTTCGAAAACACCATCACAAAAGCAGAAAGGTCCGGCGACAAGAGGGTGCCATTGTGAGAACATACCGGCGTTTGCAAGCCCAGGCTGATCCTTTCGAGGATAGCGATGGCGAGGGCCATACTCCACGCAACTTGCCTGTCAATGGTGATAAAGACAGCAATGCCTTTAGAGAAAGGGGCATAGGCGGGCTCTGCCTGTTAGCCACCGACGAAGACGACTATGGCGAGGAGGTGAGCTCGTATGCCGCCTCCATTCGACGATCGACGCGCCGTCTGGCTCGTTGGCGAGGGCACGAAGACGAGCTTGGCGTGATTCCCACAACCAAGAAGCCCAAGCCAGCCACGGCCAACGAGAATGGCAACGGCGAGAATTTGATTGATGGGTCAGACCTCCTTGCAGCCGAAGATGCTGATGCCAAGGTCAACGGCAATGCGTCCAGGGACGATGACAAGGACGCAAATGGCGACACTGCCATGCTGGATGACGTAGACATGGAAGATGCCGACAATGCGGCGATTGTGGATGAAGACGGTGATGACGCGGATAAGACAGAGGAGGCCATGGTGGACTCGGATGGTGAGTAGTTGGGCGCGGATTTCGCGCTGGGTTGTCAATTCACACTAGGGGAGGAGGAAAACCAAAAGGGAACTACATTCGGAACTGATTTTGCTACACACTGAGGAAACTTGTACACAAAGGATACGGCTGGGAGAGGTTTAGATTTTCCAGAGGCGTCGAGGCGTTTGACTGAGAGCCCGCATCAGCGCTCCGTAATGACTACACTGTTATAATTAACTGCAAATCCTGAAGAGCTTGCTCAAACTTGATCGTGAACTAATCAAGCTACAAGAACAACAAAGGAGTGGTCGTCTGTATTTTGGTTGGGTGTTGATTTGGCCGCAATATGTCGGACATTGATGATCCGATTACAGGCGCCGATCTGGCATAACGCACGAGTACGAATACGAGACTGCATTCGGAGGGACGCCTCTCCACCAAAAGATGAACGGCCTCATCCGGATCGCCGTGATCCGGCCGAGCGGTGAGGTGCGGCAGAACGAGCGCGCGAGTCCTCGGGTGCCGAGAATGACAATCCAACAGTTGTAAGGCAATTGGATTTCTTTATTAATAGAGCAGATCGAATTGGCTTCAGAGGAATTTGCTGCTTGCCGTGACATTTTTGTGCAGTTTGGAAGAAAACTGGGCGATTCATCGGCGTTTTGTTTAAGTTGTTTATTGCCGGCCGTTGTGCTTACTTGGCTAAATTTTGGCCCAATTCCCAAAGTGGTTCGTTTCCGATAAACTCGCCCGTTCCTTTCAATTCCCCTAAAGCTTTTGTTTTCTTTTCTTTTCTTTCTTTGTTTGTTTAGAATTCATCCGTGTAATAATACATTTTAATTCTCTCTTTTGTTTTCAGATTCTTATAGAAGAGAAGCAAAGCCAATGCCTGGAAACGAACCCTCCCCGCCCGGCATCAGCCGCCTGCTGGCCATCCTGGGCCTTTTAACGGCGCTGCTAGCATCCGTGGTGTACGTGCTCGACCAGGACCTGGAGCGGTTCTACGTCTTCGATACGGACCACCTACACGACTTAGCGCAGCGGGGAGTCGCCCAGCATGGCAACAACACGAGGGGCATCGTCAAGTACATCGTGGACGAGCTGAACGAGAAAGTGCCGGGATACGTCAACCTGGAGGAGGACTGGGTGTTTAACAATGCTGGCGGGGCCATGGGAGCCATGTATATCATTCACGCCAGCGTGACGGAGTATCTCATCATCTTTGGTGAGTAAAAAAACAAACAACAAAAGAAGAAGAAGAGAAAGACAGCTGACAGAGAATCATCAAGGCACGGCCATTGGCACAGAGGGCCACACCGGCCGCCACACGGCCGACGACTACTTCCACATCCTGTCCGGCACGCAGGTCGCCTACGTCCCCGGCGAGTACGAGCCCGAGGTGTATCCCGCCGGCAGCGTGCACCACCTGCGCCGCGGCGACGCCAAGCAGTACAAGATGCCCGAGGGCTGCTTCGCGCTCGAGTACGCCCGCGGCTGGATCCCGCCCATGCTCTTCTTTGGCTTTGCGGATGGCCTGAGCAGCACGCTCGACTTCCCGACGCTGTGGAAGACGACGTACATTACTGGCCAGCAGATGATTGGGAACTTGCTCAAGGGGAAGCTGTGAGGCTGGCGCTTGTGTCTGTGTTTGTGTAGGCCTGGGTGAAATGGGAGTTTTGTGTTAGAACTTCGGCTTGAAAACAAAAAGGAGCAAAGCAAAGTATATGGGAAACATTATGGGATATGAATGTTATAGAAAGCGGGAAACAGTTGTTCAGGACATATACCTCGTAATTACAAAGCACTACCAAGCACATACCTTATATACCTATGTACGGATACATGGTAAATACAACCCGCAAATTACGACCAAGAACAAGCTTCGTCTACCTGTTGTGTTACTCGAATTCCTCTGTTGCACCCCAGACAGCCAGCCAATCAAATAGAGATAAGAAAAAATTCATCAAACTGTCCCCTTTGCTGCCCTATCCTCTGTTGCGTGAATCTAGCACCAGCAAAAGTTTCCCGACATAAGTCACCATTCACGTTCTAGTGAAACGAGATGCACGGCGGCAGTTAAGTGCATATAGCAAGTTCGTATAAACTATGTACTGCTGTGAAGAGGAGAGAAAAAATGGTACGCTCCCAACAGTAGCCCCCTTTATTCACGAAGTTCCAAGACCGCGCCTTCGTCGGATTTGTTTTATATTTTTTGGTCTCCGCCCTGCCAACCAACGCCACGCCAATGTGCAGTTGTGCTAAGAGGAGGAA